GATCAGGTCTGAAAGACCAGGAGCGGCTGCACGATAGTGCAGCCATCGTTCGTTCATTCGCTTTGCTGGGTCCAGTTTTTCCCGGAACAAAATAGCTCTTCTGATTGATCTACAGTGAACCCTGGATGCATGGTAGCAGTCATGGTATTTGGTGCTTTTTACCCTTTTGGAAAAGAAAAAGGAGTGATTCTGGAAAAACCTTGATCTAGCTCTGACTTGTGAGTAAATAGATGTTTAACATATAAACAGCTTGAGCATTTGTGTTATAAAGAGCAGTTGTAGCTAGATACTTACAAATGTAAATGATGGTAGCCCTTTTCCTGCTCCTTAGTCTTGTTTAAGGTATTAGCTTGTGTAACCTACTCTTATTCATTTGCTTACTCCATTTTAAGTTGGAGATATCTGTAGAAATAATGACAAAAACTAAGGAAAATCAGGACCTAATATTCTGGAAAAGTTAGTATTGACAACATTATTTCTAAGAAATTAGTTAAACCAGAATATGTTTTTCCTTTTAAAACTTCATAAGGGGATTTTGTTTTGCTTTGTTTTGAAGAATCTCAAACTTTTTCATTGATTTTCAATTTTTGGGTAAATCCATGCAGTGTTCCCCCATCCCCCTCCATTTTTCCTCGAAGTCTAGGTCAGCAGACATTTTCTGTTAGTAGCCAGATAGTAAATGCTTCAGACTTTACTGGTCACATAGAACCTGTGCCAGGCATTCCTAAAATATGTAAGAATCAGTTTTATTGGGTGGGTCCTATGAAAACGAACTAGCCAACCAATTGCTGACTGGCCTGCACGCTGCAGTCGTTGGCATCTCTTCTAGAGTAAGGCTTACAGCTAGAAGATTCTCAGTTGAACAGGACAGATTCGATCAGAATTGAGTGGGAAAACACAGTTCAGGGACTGGTAAGGCCAAGATAAAGTACAGACTAGCTTCAGATCTGGCTGAATTCAGGAATTCAGATGGTGGTCTGGTCAGTCCCAAGCCTTGGGACTTAGGTCCAGGTCCTTCTCAGCCCCACCCCATCATTTATATATCAGGCAAGTTCCTGACTCCCTCAGGTCAGGCTCCTGCCTTTGAAGTAACTGTGATGCAGGGAGGAGGGATGGTGATGGGAGACCTGTGGTTGGAAATGCTGCAAACAGTCTGGCCTGTTTGATAAGCTGTTAGGGTCAGCTCCATTACTAGCACCAGCTGAAGAGGGAGCTGGTGCTCCAGGAAGCTTAGGAAAGGAAGGAGACAGAATGCTGGGGAAAGGCTTGTTGAACATACACAGTACATGTCCACTTGGTCATCTTTTGATGTCTCTTGAAAATGAGTATGTAAGTTGAACAAAAGCTTTCGTGTATTTGAATGGAATCATTCAGCCAGTAAAGAGGTTAAGTCAGTTTCCCCCTTCCTCTCTGCTTGATTTTCATACAGCCATCACAATGCACTGACATTCATATTTGCTTTGACACCTTATGCAGTGGAAAGACGTTATTAGAAAATTTTAACTATTGCAAAACTAAAAATACTTTAGGCGAGGCTATATTTTTCATTGTAGGAGTACAGTAGGTTTGATATGTGTATGCTACGTCAATGATTAGCATACATAGAACAGATTATTGAAAGTTCAGTAAAAGTATGACAGTGAATATGTACTGCCCAGTTGCTCAGTAAAGCCATACTTAGGATCCTGAGATACCTGTTCTACTTTTGGTGATCCCTGTGAAGTAGGCAGATCAGGTTACTCGTGCTCATTTCTCCTGCAAAATGACAAAATTGGAATCACTTCACACTAATGTATCTATTAATATTTCAAGCAATTTCAAGTAGAAAAGTCTTAGTCCCTGAGAAGCTCTTAACTATTTTTACGTTAATTAGAGCCCAGGAAGTAAACAATCTGAGACCTTCAATCTGTTGAGTCTTATAATATATTGCTATGTACGTCTTTTTTTTTTTTTTAAATACAGGCTTCATAAGTGGCTGCATAAGAAAATAATTTCACACTCAAAAGGCCATACATTGCAAAGGTCTCTTTTTTTTTTAGGTGAAGTTCTGGATTTTGTGTAGCTTTTCTCTTTGGAATACTTGTAAAAATCAAAATAGTAAAACATATATTGTAGGAGAACAAATCTTTACAACTTTTAAGAGAGTAACACTGCTATTTTCATTCACCTTTATTCAAAGAAGTAAAGATTATGAAAAATATCTTTATGAGGAAGCACGTATATTCTTACACCGATATAGCCAAGTCAAGAACTTTGATAAAAGTAATTTGTCTACATTTATACTCAACTTAATTACATGAAGCCACAGGAATAAAAAAAGTATTTTAATCTGACCTGTGATCTGGTTGCCTCTCAGTGGCATCATAAAAAACAAAATACATGCAATTTTGCTTCACCCTAGTCCTGGGAGTGGAGAGACAGTGCTCAGCCGTGCACGTGTTTCAAGTGGTTTTCAGTATGTTGAACAGGCAGTTTACCTTTAACCACATTCTCTCTCTGGATGAAGTATTCCTTACTTGAGCAGTAGAATGCTCGGAAACTCAAGTCAGTTCTCCATAAATGCTGTCTATATACATGGAGCGTTAAAAAGATTGTGAAACAAACCAGTAAGGCAAAATTTTAGCACCCGATGTAGCAGTATCTGTTCACATAAGCATACTGTTGGATGGGTATCCCTTTTTTAATAAGTCTATTTTCATGTCAGAAATAGAGGAATTCTTAACTTTCTACCAGAAAGTGCTTTTGAAAAACTCAAGAGCCAGTCTGAAATGGTGAATATTCTAGCTTCGTCAGTTTGCCGAGTGCTACAAGAAAGTTAAGCTTGTTCCCTTTTGCTAGGAAATAGGTGGTTTACTGAATTGCTTCAGCTTTTCTCTCCCCAGAATGTTTGGCATTTCTTCAGGAAAACTTTCAGGCTTTTGGAAAAACAACTCACCAAAATGCAAGGAGAGTTCTCCACTGCCTGGCTTCATTTGTTGAGAACGCTGCTCCTTGCCACTTCCCCACCTCTGCCCGTGGGTGTTGCCCTGTCTGTGTTTAGGAGAGATCCTCCTGCTGGTTTTGGCTCCAGCCCTGAACTTTGGGGAGTCACAGATAGCTGCAGCTTCTCTCCCACGGGTCATCTTTCAGGGTCTGTGCTTGGATTTATCAGGTTAGGTGGGGTTATGTCAGTCACTTTACTAGTCATTTTGCATTGGTGGTTCGATTGTGGTATCAGGTGTAAGTACTTTCCAGTCCTCTTCAGTTCTCCTGTGCCGTTTTCCTATGATTTTAGTACAGTTCTCTTAAAGAGACTATGAGAAACAGACTATGGCACATCCATACAGACCATTGTGCTGCCAGAGGAATGAACTACTGAGTTGGGCAACAGATGGCTTCTTCTCCAAATGCTGATTACACCCAGAGGCTCTAGGCCATGGGGATTGAAAGCAGGTCATGGTTGCCAGGGGCCTCAAGTGTGAGGATAGGGGATTAGCTAACTGCAAGTGGCCTGGATGTTTTAGTGTGATGAAAATGCTTTGTGTCTTGATTGTGGTGGTGTGTGACTGAAGGCAGTTGTCACACTCATTGAACCTCATACATTTTATCAATATAGAAATCAGTTTTGAATGAAGTGGGGGAGGGAAAAAACACGTGACCACCAGAAACTCACTATGTGAAAGTATAAAAAAGTTTGCTCAAAAGTATACTGCTACCTCAAGTCAGCAATATAGCAGTGTGCCTTGCCTCACCCCCACAGTATATTGAATTGAGTATTTTATTTAGAATGTCCCTGAATAGTTGTAAAAATTTGTATAATTGTTCATTACTGTGTCGAAGTGGTGTAAAGATACTTTACTATTTCATGAACTAAGTAATATTGCGTGACAATAAAAGCATTTGAAGTGACAATATACTTAAGTGTTTTCTGGGGTCTTTTAATGTAACTTGCACACAGATAAATATGGTTTATTATTTTTCTGACATCTAAAAATTATTTCTGATTACTTTTTGTACTGTTGAAAAGTAGTGATAAACTAATGCACTGAACATATTAAGGCAACGCTCCAGTCTGGCTGCATGTTGTGTCTTTCAGGTGACCTGGGTGCGGAATAAAATAGGCTCTCGGGATTTATCTTTCCATTTTAAAGAGTGGATATTCAAAAATCATTTAGGAAAAAGAGGTGCTCCGGAGCATTGTTATATTTGGCTGGTCTCTGAAAAAGTTCATGTCTATTTAAGATGATGCCATCCTTCTTATGGAAATAAGCTCGCTGGCTTTGGAAAGCTCACTGTGGGAGGTCCTTGGTCCCATGAGCTTGCTGCCCTGTAGTCATGGCAGGCTGTCCTGGGGGGCAGGGCACTCATGGCTTCCTGGTGCTCATAAAATCGTAATAAACTTGGCTTAATCACTTGCTTTTCAGAATCTGTTATCCTTATAAAGGTAATAGAATTTTTCTTCCAGCATAGCCTGTGAAATATACTTTTGACTTCTCCCCCAAATTATACAGTATTCTATAAATTGGACACACCAATCATAGACCTTTGCTTCAAGTGTCTATTCCTTAGGTTCCCTCAACCTTATTCATGAGCCTTATTTCAGCTAGGTGAAGTGGGCCTATAAATATAGTATAATAAGGGGTTCAGTGAAATTCTGTTAAGTCCTAAAATATTTTTTACCCAAAACAAACAAACAAAAAACTCTTCACTTTACAAAGTGGAAAAGAGGAGTTGGGGGAGAAGAGACATGGTGGGAACTTGTAAAAGGGGTGGTTTGTAGAACAGAATGTGCAAGCCGCTGGCAGTGCTGCATAGCTCGGGTCCGGCGGGGCCCAGGTGGAGACGCTGAGCTGGAAGGCAGGTAGCACTGGAGCTCCCCTGCAGCTGGCGCCGCTCCCCCCAGGCGGTGCAGCTGCAGACGGCCTCCCGCCGGGGACCGGACGAGGACCCGAAGACTTGCAATTTTGGATTCATTTTAACTTCTCTTTTAAAAATTTCACTTTTGCATTTCACATATGTAGGTTTAAGAAAATCTACTAAGAAGCGCAGTGAATCCCCACCTGCTGAGCTCCCCAGTTTGAGGCGGAGCACACGCCAAAAGACCACGGGCTCCTGTGCTAGCGCCAGGTAATGACGGGGCTGAGGCGGCGTCCAGGGGCTGGTGCTGCGCAGACGCGTGCTCCTCTCGTCAGAACCCACATCTTGGTAGTTCTGCAGGTTGCTACAACTTTCCTTGAACTGTAAGGAAAGTTATTTACATCTTGCTAAGTTTTTAATCATGCTCTTTGTTTCGACAAAACTTTTCTACTTTATTCCTCTACTTCTCTTTTGTTGCTACATCACTGCTAATAGTTGGACATTTGGTGGTTGTCAGAGTTCCATCTCCAAGTGAATCTCTTAATGAGCATCTTTATGCAGATTCGGGCTGCTTGTAAAGGTCACTAAATTTCCCAGTTGCGTGATGAGTGGATCCAAAGAGATGCCTGTCTGGTGGCTGTACTTTAGCCTAATTTGTTTCTTGAAGTGTTGGTGCCCGAGACTGCCTTTAGCGGAGAGGGGCGGAGTGTGCTCAGTTTCACTTGGCATTACCGGCCCTCCTGGAGCAGCGCAGGGCCCACACCCCTCCCCATTTCTCCCAGGGTGGCTTATAGTGCCCTTGTCAGAAAGTCAACTGCCTTTGATGTGATCGTTTATTATTCCACCTACTTTTGTTAACTGATTGACATTTCCTCTGAGATTTTCAAATCTATTCAGTTGATCAAGCATCTTGGAGCTGCTAATCATTCACAGCCATAGAGGACTTTCCCCTCTTTTCTGTGTCTGTTAAAAACCAATGATGGGGGCAGATGATTTGCCTGTTCTCTAGTTTGGAAAGTAGAAAGGTTTGAGCACTTTTGGATTTTCTCAGAGGTCATCTCCTGTACCTGTGAGTCCTGAGGAAAGGTCTTTTACCTTATAATCTCTTAATTTTACACTAATTTTAGTTCTGTGTGAATATTTAAAATAGTTAAAGCCTGTTTGCATTGAGTTTTACTGCATTACTTTTGCAAGATCGCAGAAGTTTTTGTCATAGTTTGGGCCAGATTTTTAAATTCGATTTGCCCAATGGTAGTAATCTGACTTACAAATTGAATTCATTGTGCTTGAAAATTAGTCTTAAGTTGTCTGCAGAGTCAGGCACCCACCCTAGTGTGAAGAAATTTCCCCCTCCGCCCCCCCCAACACACACACCGGGGACTGTTGGGCACACATGACACCTCCAGTGGACATTGCATGCCCTCTGGCTCTTGCCCTGGACAATGTCTCAGATGTGGTCAGGAGCTGGTGAAATTCTCCTTGAATGCAGTGCTTCCGGATAGCTGCGTCCTTGTCTCTCACTAGACTGACACTTCTTGCAGGCAGCAAGCAGAGTGTTCAGTGCAGTCTAGGTCCATAGTTGGTAGGAAGTAATTTGAGTCCCACCAACTTGTAGCTTGGAAAACTGGGTTTGGAATGGGCTGTATTTCCCCTTAGGGAATGGTCCCGCCAGTCAGAGACACTTCTTTAGTTAATAGTAGGTTTCTGCATTTTCTCAGGTGATTTGAGGAGTGGCTTATCACGAAGTTTAGGTTGTGATGAGGCAGCACTTCCGTTTCTACCTGATTTGTGTATTAATTTCTCTATTAGAATAGAAAAAATGTCACCAATAAAGTACAGTTTGCCTCATGAGAAATGGGTGATGATTCTTCTATAACTTGTACTCTGCCTTACTCCTAAACAAGCATTTGTTCAAATGTCATCTTTTATCTGTTAATACTGATCTCTAGTTCTTCAAAGGATGGAGTCATTGTCCATTGCTAGGATGATTATTTTACTAATGTGCGTAATCTGGAACTGAGGTAATGGGAGTTTTCCTCTTCCTCCCCCAGCCCCTTCCTGCTGTTGGCAGGGATCATCCTGAATCTGGTATCGACCCATTGTCACCCTGGCCCATTGTCACCCTGGCCCATTGTCACCCTGGCGATGGGAATCTATTTTAAACGACCTGTCTCTGCAGGAGGCACTCATCCACTTAGTGTGAAGTGTTTAAAACCCATTTCTGTCTGTAAGGATGACAACAGTGTGTAGCAGAACAAAAGCCTGCGTTGTGACGTGACTTAACTTGGAAGAATTTTATATATACAAAGTCTCAGTTGTCACATACAGTGATTTTCTGCAACAATTTTTATGTAAAAAGAAGAAACTGGCTTTGTGCTCCATGCATTGGAGCTTTGTGCTGTCTGGACATCGTTCCTGGTCACTGGTAGTGCTGCTCATGATGGCATTTTTCTGCTGCAGTCGGCGAGGCTCTGGCCTGGGCAAGAGAGGAGCAGCTGAAGCTCGCCGACAGGAGAAAATGGCAGACCCTGAGAACAGCCAGGAGACGGTCAACTCTGCAGCCGCTCGGACAGATGAAACTCCCCAGGGGGCTGCAGGTGGGCGGCTCTTCTTAGATCTCACGTCAACATTTACATATTTTACAGACAGGTTGCTTTTTGGGTTTAGCAAATATCATGGAAGAGAGAGGATAGACATTTATTTATTAGATGTTACTATCAAACTTTTGATTCTCATGTTTTACTTATGTTTGGTTTTTGTGAGTCTTTGGATACTTTGTTACTTGTTACTGTTCCTTACATTGTCCAAATCCAAATTTCTACTAATTATATCCAAAGGGGGTTTATGAGGAGGTAAAACTTTGTTTAAGCTTCTTAATACACTGTTGAGTACATCGCAGAAATTCTTACTGTTTGAAAATACTTAGATACATAAAAAATGTGAGGAGAAGGCTTAAACTGCTTGTACATACATAAATTTTAATGTAGAATATTGTAATTTCTGAAATGTAATCATTCCATTTGAGTCTAAGCATTTAAAATTTTTGTGGCCTTATTCTTGATATCTTAGTGCAGGTTTCTATTAGTAATACCAAAAGTAGGTATTAATATTTCGACAGTTTATCGAGGCTGGGGTTTGTGAGTGTACCTTGCTACTACTCACAGATCCAAACTGACATGACTCATCATCACGAACACAAGGTTAAGGATTCTGTAAATAGGCGTGGACCTGTGGGTTTCAAGAAGGCATATATATGTGTGCATGCACACATGTGTTCTTTGGAGCAAAGTAAACTCTTACATGTGCTGCTATTTAATATTAGAATATGTACTAGTTTTCTTTGACACCTATGGTTGACTAGATTCCTAGATTGCAGGGAATGTCCTGGTTTGCTTGTGGCTGTCCATATTTTATGCCTGTTGTCTCAGCTTTAGCCAGCCTTAATGTTTTTTGCTGCTGATCTTTCCTAGTTTTGTATGACAGATTGCATGATGAATGTATAGCATGTCATGTGGTGATTGGGGGATGGAGAAGCTTTTATATTGTACCCTTTTCCTGGACTAGTTTTTCTGAAGCGTTAGGTGATGTGTTAGGGGGCAAATACAGTCCATTGCACTTGCACTTCATCGAAGCTCTATGACACACAGCTCACCCTTCAATGTGTAATGTTCACTGCAAGTCTGAGGGTGGAAGTGGGGCATTTCCTAAGTGGATGGCCAAAGTGGAGTCCCGAGGCTGTTTTTAAAGTGGACTCATTCTGAAAGTTATAATCATGATTAGTTACAGTGTGTGCACGCTATTTTAGCACAGCATTAAGCACTTTACATATATTCACATTTAACTGACGAAAACAACTTGCTGAGGTGTGAGTGCTGGGGCCTAATTTCATGAGGAAAATCTGAGACCTGTATTGGTTAAGCTGCCTGGGTTTGGTCTGGACTTAGAGAAGGATGACTCTGTCCTGATTCCCTGTGGTGCCATTGTTTGCTTGATCCTGTGATGCAGTGGAGGTCAGCACACGGGTTGGTGTGTGCCATTCTGCCTCTGGTATATTTCCTACAAGGAGGAAAGCTTTCAAGAGCTCAGGGTCACAGGGTGGCCCTCCTCAGGACTCCTGTGTTGATGCTCTTACTCGGATCATTGTGATCTAGGCATGTTCCAGGTTTATGTGAAGCTACGTGTGCCTTGTTTCACTGGTGTTGGAACTGCATTTGGCTTCAATACAGTTCAGAGACTGGATTCCTTGTGGATCCTGTAGAATTCTGGGGAAAGAAATAAGTTACTTACTACCTTTCTGTTAAGTTCTTTAGTGTGATGTGCTTTGGTTTCTCAGTATGTGAAGTTGTAATTTAAAGAAAAATAAAGCCCTCTGCATTAGCCTAGGCACAGGTAACTTCGAGCATCTTGGGGCCAGTATCCATTCTCAGACAGCTCTCAACACAGTTGGTGTAAGTTTTCCTTCCTCTGAAACATTTTATGTGAAATTTCTTTTTGCTAATTTGGAAGCATAACTTAATCTCTTAGTGTTACTTATGTTCATTTCTTTGGTGTTACTGTGAAGTTCACAGCTTGCTGATATTGGCTGCAAAAGCGCTTCTGCAGGTATGGCAAGCTTGCTTGTGTCACCCTGATTTTGTGTTGTTGACACTTTAGAAAGTGGATGAGTAACTGGTGTCTCTGTCGCATCTCCCTGAAGTATACTGTGCTGGGCAGGTAGCCCCTTGCTTTTCCCGGAGGATGCTGGCTCTGGAAGCTGGAAGCTTGGTGTTCTCCGCATTGTCCTGAGAGTTGGGAAAGAGCTTAGGACTTAGGCAAAATCGTGCATCCTGTTACAGTGCTGAAAGGTCTTGGAAATGCTGTGGACAATTAAGCAGGAATTAAGTATTCGTCTTGTGTAGAAACTTAGCAGGTGGCAAGGGACAAGAAATCAAACAGGCTCAAATTGTATAAACAAAGCAGCTAGTTTTTGTAAATGAAAAAATTTCTCTTCTAAATCTTCTGTGTCGTTAAGACTCAAAATCAGATTGCTACTGTATCACATGCCTAACTGTCACACTTCTAGCCTTACTCAGAAGTAGCTGTGACATGTTAAAAAAAATCTTCCCATTATTTCTTACAGTTATGTATCTAGCAAACCTGTCATGGGTTTTTCAAGAAAAAATGACTTTTGTCAGCTTGTAGTATTTGATCTTTGTTTTCAGCCTAAGAGATTCTATCAGTTAAAGTATAACAACTTGGAGTTACATATAAAATCCTCGTGTTACTGGATTTAAACAGCGTTGTCTCTACTGTTGTCATTCACCTGTGTAAACTGTCTACATGGTGCTATGAAGATTTTCTGAGACTAGTTGGGAGAGATCTTTTTAAACAAAAATGATCCAACCTCTTGATTTGACATTTTCTTCTCTCTGCCTTTGTCTTACCTCTGTATTTGAGGACAGAGCTCATGCATGTTGTCGAAGGAAATTCGAGGCTGTTAGTGTAAGACTGCTGTTTGACTTCAGTTGATGGAGGACATTTTCTTAACCTGCGTAGCTTCTTGCAAGCAGCCCATGGGCCAGGCTAGTTTGGTAATCTAACTTTGTAAAACTTGCATAGTGGCGACTAGACCACGTAGTGGCAGGTACTTAACTATGTTCCATCAAAAAAAGAATGGTGAAGGACCTTTCCTTTGGGCCCAGTAACTGATTTCTCTCAAAAGAAACAATCCACTAAAAATTAGAACGTTCCTGCCCCTCCTGCTGATAGTTCTGTGGCCTCCTTAAGGTGGGTCCTGCTGTAACAGCGAAGCTTTTAATGGTTCCCTTTACAGTGTCTAGTGGCACTGCATTTGGAGGTAATCACTGTTCATCATGAAAAGTCATCAAGTAACTTAAACTTTTCAAGTTGTGAGTCGTAGATCTATAAAGCATTGAGAACAAGACGAGTGGTTAGTTTTCTGATAGATACTAAAAGCTAGTACGACCTTAGCAGATGAGTTTTTATCTTTTTCTTCAGAGAGATGTGCTTCCAGAGGAGGCTTTAAAAACACCCCAACTGTTTCATTTGTCAAAACTAAGTATTTGCTATTTATGTAATCGGAAGAGTTTTTAAAGCCAGTTTAATAGCTACTTCAACAATTTCTGTCATCATTGGGATGTAATAAACTGTATTTGTTAACAAGGTTTTTATATAATGTGAAAAAAAGTTGTACTTGAATTAAAAATTAGTACAGCATTGAATTCAGACTGCCTGGGCCAAAATCTGTGACCCACTGTCAGCTGTCTGAACCAGGGCAGATACACTCACAGCCAAAGCCTCTGTTTCCTGTGTCAGTGATGAAGTTCTAATCTCTGTCTGGATCTGAGGATACACGTAGACACTGTCTACATATATAAATGACAACCTGTACATACTATACACACACACAAACACTTAGTATATAATAAAATAACACCTTTAAGTTAAGTTATTGAATCCAGTAACTGTCTATTTCGTTTTTCCTCATCAGAAAGGTGGGGTTTGCTTAGCTCTGATACCCTCTGCCCTTTTAATACTAACGTTTCTGGTTAACCTGTATGTATGTAACTCTGAGCCATGGAATTGATAACATTTTCTGTGAGGAGTTGATTTCTAATTATAGAACAAGCCCTGTTGGAACTCTGACTATAGCATGGGGGAAAAAAAAACAACACAGCTGCAGACAATGTGAAATGAATGCCCTAAAGAAGTTTCATTTACAAAATGATGTGTTGGTGGGAACTACGAACTAAAAAAAATGTCATTGAAATGATAGCAAATACTTGATGAGGTATGAAGGAAGCCATTATGAAAATACTGAGCTGGTGGCTGATGTGTTAGCATCTCTTTTCCCAGAAAGGTTCTTTAAATTCACACTATTAACATACTTCTTCCAACAGTAATGACAGAGATGTCTCTGCCATCCCGTCATCCTTTTGCATTTTGTTACTGTGCTGAATGTATAGATACTAGGTGTTGTGGTGTGTGCTCACACACAGTTAACTGCTGTAAAAACATGCTTTGGGCCTGACACAAACAGTGAAGAGCAGAAAAGCTGCTAGTTTAACAGGAATATAGTTTCATCTCTGAGTCAGATTCTGAAGACAGTCTGCCTCTGTTTGCTTTGACTGCAGTGCTGATCAGGTTCCTATCTAGGATTCTAGGTGCCTTTTACTTTTGTTTTGACATTTTAATTGCCTCTCTCTTTTATATTTCAATGTTTTGCAGTCATCTGGTATGTATCTCCATTTTTTTTTTCTTCGTCATAGAGAAAGAGTATTAATCTTTGCATATGTAAAATTAAGGGAAAGAGATGATTGTATCAAGTCTGCAGCTCAGGAATAAAACAGATCCAAGAAAACTCACACGTGTTGAACATTTCTTCCAAATGCCAGTTTTGCTTTCTATTATGTTTGTGACTCATGGCAGTCACAGATGTAACCATCTAGCTATTGAATATGCAGTGTGTTTTCAGCAGTGTTATCTTTATGGACTTTTGGTAGAGGAATTCAGGACAAGCCCTGATTTGGGAATAGCACAAGGAATTGTTCAAAGCCATCTGTGAATGAAATGTGAAGGTTGCATTTTTATGCTTATTTCACACTAAGATAGTTGAGTCCTCCTTTTGTTCATAAAAACCACAGGACTAGGTCTAGGAGGATAGCTAGCTGAGTGTGCATTTGTGCAAGGGGAGACATGTTTCATTGCCTCTTAAAGGTAGCCTGTAAAATTCTGTTTCTTTTTTAAAGATGAGCCAGATATAATGAGCTAAGTGTTAAGTATTGCTTCCTTAATCCCTTCACCTTTTTCCCCCCCACCCCTTTCTTTTTCTTCTTTCCTTTAAAGCCTCTAGTTCTGTTGCAGGGGCTGTGGGCATGACCACCTCTGGGGAGAGTGAATCAGATGATTCCGAGATGGGACGACTACAAGGTAAAGGCAGTTACTGAGTTTACAAGAAACCATTGCCACAGACTGAAATCAGTTTGAACATTTAACATCGTCTAGCAATGCCTGCACCTCCAAAAAATGTCTTCAGTAGTATGATTTGAAACTGGGAGATGAACCCACTATCTCTTTTTACTGTTTAACTGGACAGAATTATGCCCCTTTTTCTTAAAATCATTATGGTTGACTTACATATAGCAAAATAGAAAATAGCATATATTAAGAAGGCTCTTTAAGAAGAGGGGTAGCTTAATACATTATTCTCTGGCACTTAGTAATGTAATGCAGCCAGTCGGGGGCGCTTTTCCCAAGTTCCTTTGAGTTCTTGACCCTCTATTTATAAGTGAATGTCAGATGTGTGTATAAATTCCAGAAAACTGCTTTTTAAAAAGCAGCCTCCTATCTTGTGTATATATCCATCAGCAGATGGATATATATATATTATTGTTTAGATAGATAATGTGTATATATTATTTATATATATTATTTAGATGGTTAATGTGATAGATCCCTAATGGGAGGTTCACAGGAAACATTTATAAATCATTTTCAGGTGACTTAGGCCTTTCAGGAACTACAGTGATCTTTGACTAGAATTGTTCACGAACATAGTCTTTTCCCTTTTTAGAACCAGTCACTGTTTTTAGAACATCTTCTGACAATTGTCTGACTGGAAAATATTATCAGAGGGGAAATAGGGTTCTTTACATGTAATTTCTTAAAAGCAAATAAAGTTTGGGCATTTTTTGGGACCTCTGTATAAAATTCCTGCTGACCTTAATTTTTATTATCCCCGTAAAGCCATAAGAGGCCTGGACGCTGGCATTGAGTGTTGTGACTTACATTTATATTCATGTATGTGTGGGCTTGGAAATTAAATGTAGCTTTTCCTAGAGTTTAAGCTAGAAAATAATATCTAAGTGAGCAGTGTGGTTAATCGCGCATTTGAAAGCTGTAAATAAGACCAGTGCGTCAGCAACTCAGTGACTCTCGTCCTGCACTTTTCTCTAGCCCTGCTGGAGGCCCGAGGTCTTCCTCCTCATCTTTTTGGCCCTCTTGGTCCTCGGATGTCACAGCTGTTCCACAGGACAATTGGAAGTGGAGCTAGTAAGTAATACTTACAGATGTGTTCTTTCTTATTTTCATGTACTTAAACATGTTTTTAAAAATAAGGCTTGTGCACATTCTTTTCTTAAATACAGCAGTTCTGATTTCCTTCTGCACTTTTATCTTTGATTACTGAATTGCAGTCATTAGAAAATTACCCAAAGTTTGCAGTCAGATTGAATCTTGTTTTGTTGGAACTATAAAGAGTAAGAAATCTCAGATGAGTGCATTGATTGTTTTATCATCTGATTACAGGTTTTTGCATAAATTGAATCTTGAGTATTTTTTATGCTGTAATAAAATTTAGCCCATAAGACAGAAATCATAATATGCACGTGAGAAACAAGATTTCTGAGCAGAATGACGCCACTGAACTCATTGAATCAAATTAATGTATGATAACCCAGAGATCTTGCTATAGGTGCTAGACATGACAGTGACTCTTGAAGCCTCAATTTGTAGCTAAGAATAACCTTGCAAAACTGTAATTCCAGGTGTAGTCTTTTTTTTTTTTTCCCAGTAGAGAATACTGTACTGGTAGAGAATACTATCTTTAGATTCTTTAAACATTTATATTTGAGCCATTTAATGACTTCAATGATAGTATTTCCAAAGAATCGCTGGACTCTAAAAGATTTCAGATTTGATTGGTAAAGTGTGATTGAAGCCTTTTAATGCTGACCTTGTTAATATGTGTTCATATCATTTTCTGCCAAATAATTACAAGTTAAAAACATGATGGCAGCTGTAAAGGATTTGCTCACATATTTGCCCTTGTTCCTGAGGCTTTTTCAAGTTTCTGGGTTTGGAGGAAATTTAAGAAGCATCTGGTATTGTTGTTTTTGTTTTGTCTTTGATGCCCTGACTCCAAGGGTAGCAGCATACTGTGTTGCAAAGTAGTCATGAACTGAGATGCGGGCTTATTTAGTATCATTTGTTAAGTACTGGGATTGTGCTGTATCAGGATCAGAATATTAAGGGAAGCTGTTTACATAGAAGCTTTCATGCTGAAAGGGGACCCTGGTACCAAGTAAGGTCAATGACTCTCTAGTCCAGTTTCAGGTAGTGTCAAGTAAGTGGAGAAAGTCTAAGCAGAGTAGATGTAGATTGGTTGGTGGGGGAAGTAATAAACTGGTAAGAGAAACCTCTGCTGCTAGCTGCTTTTTATATACTCCTAACCAAAATGAAACCAGCTATGTACTGGTAGAGGTCTGTGGGAAAGAGGAAGTCCAAACCAAGGGGTGGTGTGCTTGAGAAAGTCTTAACAAAAAGAGCGAAGGGAAAGTGGTAGAAGAGGAAATTGTAGGGGTGTGAGCACTCAGGGCAGCAGCAAGTTGGGCTACAATCAGGGTGATCAGGGGCATGGAATAATTTAGAGCAGGGGAACAGCATGATCTTTATGATGATGAAGATGGATCGCGTCAGGTTGCGAGTATTCAGGCATAAACTCTGAACTTCCCTGCTTTCAGTCCACAGCAACTGCTGCTTCATCTGTAATGGCAAACATTCTTTCCATTGCCAAGATCATTTTAAAACCAATCCCAGGCATTGTTTTATCTGCATATCTTTTAATTTGTAACTAAAATTTTTAGACATTACTGTGGTTATAGTAAGAAGAAAGTCTTTATTATTGTTAAGTATCCATTCAGAGCTCATACGGTCTCGTCCTCTGAAATTCATCCGAGGATCAGAATATCTAATGCCATTAGTTAATCTGTTTTCTAAGTTCAGGATATGCATTTGATGTGAGGTGTTGTTAAAAATGTCTTAAAGACTCTTTCTGCACACACACCCTGCCCCCACCACGAGGAAAGACTAGGCAAAGGCAGCATTTGTGTGTTTGCCGGCTCCTTAAGCCATCACGACTCTACCTTTAGATATCAGGGTTTTAAAATTACAGTGTTCCACACCCCTTAGTCAGTTTTTGCTAATTAGAATTAGTTATTAGAAATAACTTTGTAGAAATATACTTAAAAAAAAAATCACCCATCTGTTTGGTTACCCAGGTGAGTGAAGTCAGAACAGGAAAGTTAATTTTCTCCCCTCTATCTGCCAGTTTTCAAGGTAGCTGCCTTTTTTGTAAATATTTATTCATTTATGTGTACAGAACTGGGGCACAGACCAGTAGTACAGAGGGTGAGAGAACCCACCAGAGACAGAGTGAGGAGCAGAACAGGTCGACGAAATACACTGCTGAGGGGAGCAGCGGGCGGGCCAGGAGAGGTCTGTCGCGCCCTGTGGTCACCTCTGGGGAGGGGTTCGAACTCATGCTGAGGTGGATTTATTAGCTTCTTAGTGCTGAGCTTTAACCCGCCAGGCCACCAAGGGAGGGCCCCAAGGTAGCTGCTTTTTATATACTCCAAAGTGCTGCTGTTACTGCTTTAAATGTTAAGTGACTTGACACAAATTTTAGATATTTCAGTGATTCTCATTGATGATTAAATTGATGACTGATGATCTTTGGATGATGGGATCTTTTTGAGGTGACTGCTGAGTCTTTTTGATATATCAGTACATTTTGATAATCTTTGATAACTCTTTTGATAACTCTTTGGCATATTAAAATGTATTGAGCTGAATCCCTCCATTCCTACTAATAACGTGAAACGAGGCATTTCCTCAGAAAGTGCTGTTTGGTGTATGTGAAATGGTATTTAGAGCACACAGCCAGGCCTCTAGGAGTGTTCATTACTCCTGAGTTGATACATTTTAATGGACAAATCTCAGATTTGTGTTTGCATTTTACCCATCAAATTCAGGGTGGCAGGGTTTTTATTTTACTTTTCCTCCCAACCATGCCAAAACTCCATTTCCAGTGATAACAACATAGTCAGACACATATATCCTATGGCATAAAAAAAATCCAACTTTTCACCAAAGTAAGGTTATTGAGGTTTTTTTTTGAACAGTTGTGGTCAAATTATTTTATATAGTCACTTGAAATAATTCCTCTCTGACCAAGTTGATTGGGCTGATTTCACTTCATTTTGCTTTTGATTTTTAGGGATTGTTTTTAAAATGCAACTTCGCTTTTGTAAATATGTGCACGTGGTTCTAAAATTTGAATCTAAAAATAAGGTATATTCAGAAATGTCTTTTATACTTCTTTTCTGTCCCTTTACCCTGCTTTCTCCTCTACCCAAATAACCTTTGTTGATTTTATGGCTTGAGTAAAACAAAAACCTTGTTACCCACTACACACACACACTTGCCTTCCCCAGATGGGCGTAGCAAACTTCACATTCTCTGTCTTGCTTTAAACAGTGTGTTTTGATGTTGAAGCTCCTTAGTGCTGTGTGGGTGCAGCCGAGGTGGAGAGGGAGGAGAGGGGGGCAGAGAGGAGATGTCTTCCTTTCCTCCGTCCACATACCTGCTATTTTCCCGTGCTTTTTAATTCCATCCCGTGGTCCCTTCTGTGAGGTTCTCTGTTACAGGCTAAAGAACTTTCATCACATAGCACTGCCAGCAGAGATCCCTCTCTGCTTGTTTGTGAATTCCTTGATTTGCTTTAATTCTGAATAGATATTTCCTCCCCCAGTTATCTCTTCATTAAGGTCTTAGGTGTTTCTGTTGCCTTTTCAAGTCAGTGTCTTTTTTCTGTTACAAGGTATGATTTTTCAAATTCTTAGCAACTTTAGTAGTTGGGCTGTGTTTGGCCTGTGCGGCATACTTTTTTTTTTTTTTAAAGATTTATTTATTTATTCATACAGAACTGGGATACAGGCCAGAGATGTGGAGGGTGAGAGGATTCACCAGAGAGAGAGTGGGGAGCAGAACAGGCAGATCGACGCAGATCGGCGAAGGTCGGCGAAGTGCACTGCTGAGGGGAGCAGCGGGCGGGTCAGGAGAGGTCTGCCGCGCCATGGGGTCACCTCCGGGGCAGGCGGGGATCGAACTCATGCGGAAGTGGCTTAAGCTTCTTAGTGCTGTGCTTTAACCCGCTGCGCCACCGGGGAGGGCCCACGGCATACTTTTTGATTTAAACAAATCCAGGTAGTGTTGCCTTACAGTACTGTCCATGTCTGAGGGGTGTCGTTTCCCACTTTCCTCTTTGATTTTTATTTGTTTGGGCTGTACTGAGGCTTTGAATCTGTGAGTTGATATCCTTAATCGGTTTTGAAAAACCCTTGGCCATTTTCAGATAATCTCTTTCCTTCTGGGAGTTTCAATATCATACATGTTCAGACTTTGTGTTTAACCAACATGTGACTTTGAACATGCATTATTTTTGTTTTCCCCCATTTTCAAGTTTATTTTTCCTGCTCTCTTTTAGTCTTTGCTAAACTCATCAATGAGATTTTAATTTCAGGTGGCCTCCCCTCCTTCCCCCCAAGTTCTGTGTAGTTACTTGATTTTCTTTTAATTCCTTTTTTCTATCTTGCTTTATATTTTCAATTCATTCATCATGGTAGTAGTGTTCCCACTAAAAATGGAAGACAGTTAACTCCTTGTGCCCCCTCCTGATTTTCAGTCATGTATTTGGCATCTTCAGTAACTGTTTATGTGCCGAATAACTTGCTTGAACTAGGGGCTCTAAAGGAGATTTTCTGCCAATGTGGTTTTCCTTTTCTGTCTTAAATATAAAGGGGCAGAGAAGCTTATCCCTTCATGCCCGTCAGACTTTAGCTAATTTTGGCCAGAGTTAAGATTTTCATATGACTCCTTTCACTTTGGGATTGTCCCTGCTTCTGTTGCCACCCCCACCCCCTGGGACTTTGAAGAAGTCCCTTACACTTGAAGAATGCTGTGTTGCACTGCACAGGTGTCTCCGCGGTCATGTTACCGGCTGTGTGTGTTGGAGGCAGGCCTCTCCCTCTGTGGGAACTTTGTCTTCTAAGCATGAGATTGCTGGAGATTTTATTATGTCTCATCAAAACTTCTGACTCAGCGCCCCAGCCCTCTCACAGTGCCAAGAAACTGGCAACTAGTAAGTGCAGCCGACTCAGTCGAACACAAGAGCCTCCTGGGACTCTGGGAAGGGCTGCTGGCTCCTGTGGGTTCTCGGGCTTGGCTGGTGGACCAGAGCCAGCCTCCTGCTTGTTTCTGTACAGCCTGTGAATGAAAGTGATTTGTACATTGTTACAATTTGTGCATTGAAAAAAAGGTTACTATTTTGTGACTTTGAAAATGAAGTAAAACTCAGATTTGTGTCCATAATAATTACTGAAATGCAGCCATGCTTAGTTGTCGAAATCTATTGTCTGTGGCGCAAAAGCCCTTAGTAGTAGTTGCAGCAGACACCCAGGGGCCTGCAGTGCCACTGGCCTGTGGTAGTGGACTTGAAGCATGAATCGCAAGCACCAGAGTTTCCCTAGGCCCTTGTGTGGAACCGGGAGGCCCAAACTAATGAGACTCACTAGGTATTACTGGTTTTGATAAGACAGACTTACTAGTAGGTAATAGCTGCTGAGGCATTTTTCTTCACCACTTCACTGGTGTGTGAATTGATGGTGCGTGAGCTGTGTGGGGAGGGGTGCAGCACCCACAGCACTCACCGCACCAGCAGGTGGCTGCCTTGTTAGTGCCAGGTGCCCTAGAAAGAATAGTTCACTGTCACGGAGGATGCCATTGCCAGGTACAGTGAGCGTTTGCACTGAGTGTCACATGTCTTTTTAATCTTTGTGAAAAAACGGAGCCCTTTTCCCTGCATACTTCACCTCAAACATCTTGCCTCGGGGTGAGGGCGGCACAGAGACCAGTGTGCGCAGCTGTCTTTGTTACACCCTGTAGTTATGCAGCCTGCGTAATGCTGCTCATCACCGAACGGTGGTTGCTTTGGAAAGCGTGGTCATTTTCGCCACACGCAAACAAAAGCCATTCGTATTAACGTGGAATGCATTGTTCATCAGCAAATATTTACGGGTTTTCTCTCTTGGTTCCAAATAGTAACTCTCAGGAAGAGAAACTTACACAAACAGATGACTTGGAGTTCCTCAAATTGGGAAAGACTATAATGGGCCTAAAACCAAACTGCCTGCTCTCAGAGAAGTTTGCTCTTCCTCTGTCAGAGGACAAGTTGGGTTTTTGACTTTTTGTCAAACTTGTTGTTCATTTTTAGGAACAGCCCCCACATTTAGTGGTAGCGATGGTAGTGGCTCTAGAACAACCAAGTCCTTAGAATTGCTCTCCCAGTGTTGAGAGGACACGCCGTGATGTCTGTCCTGTTTTTTCTTACTTTAGGTGGCTGTGCTATTAGGGGTTATCAGGTAAACTGAGGCATATGAAAAAATATTAAGTGTACCTGAACAAAAATCGGTTGAAATTGGGCATCATCCCATCAAGCCAATTGAAAGGAGCTGTGAGGATCGCTACAGAAGTGAGGTCTTGTAACAGGGTGAGAATGCAGATATGGGCGCTGGCTAAGCACAACAGCAGACTGGTCGTGGGGGCAGGTATCACTCAGGCAGGTTACCTCACAGTCCTCTGAGGAGAGGCCTGACTGGCAGGTGTGACTTTCTGGGGGCCTCTGAGTGGTAATGTAAGTCTGGGTTTGGTGGCGTGGGGCTTACTGTGAAAGTCACCACTGTTTTGTTTTAAACAGAGCACACTTTATACAAACTATTTCCTCTTTGAAAAATGAATTAGAATCAACTAAAAATTCTTTTGTTTTATCTTTCAGGTTCTTTAAACAGAAATGGTTAAATCTGCTGTAACTTGAAATGATAGTTCTGTAGCTTGAACTTTTTAAAGATGATATTTCTGGACTTTTCTTGCAATATATTTTTGGGTGAATTCTTAATTACAGGAACAGTGGGTGGGCATAGGTTTCATCAGCCAGAGCCTTAGAAGCAGCAGCGCAGCGAAGCCCCGGGCCAGTGTCGGCCCTCCGTGGGACTTGTGTTCTGGGAAGCTCCCTGAACTGTAATTAGAAATTAAGATTTTCATGTGAGTGCCACACTCATTGACAGTTTGCAAACATCTCATTCTTACACATTTTAATGTTTAATTATAGGGAAGTAGAAGAGGCCTTATATCAAGAAAAAGTTGAAATAGCTTGGAAGTAATACTGGTATAGATCTGGTAAACAGTAATTTAATTTACTCATCGGTTATAAATAAGAAGGCAAACGCAACACTTGTAGACTATTTTGAAGGCGGTGTTGAGTTAAACTGACACCTTCTTTCCCTGGGGCGCTGACGCTGAGTGGTCTCAGGCCACTGCGCCGTGGAGCGTGGCCGTGGCCGTGCAGGCGCTGCCCTGGGGCGAGGCAGAACAGGACGAGCTTGCTCTTGTCCAGAAAATACCCTTTTTTCATTCTCTTATTATATTAGATGGATTATTTTTGCCTTATTGTTATTTTTTTCCTTTTCACTGTCACTGGATTTCATTAATTCTGACTCACATATGTAGAAGTATCAAGTGTTTCCTTTGAACTCCAGACATTGTTTAGTGGGTTTCTGTTACTAGACAATAATTTCTCTCCCAAAAATCTCTTTAAAAGTCGGTATGGGGCCCTCCCTGGTGGCGCAGCGGGTTAAAGCACAGCACTGTGAAGCTAAAGCCGCTTCCCCATGAGTTCTATCCCACCTGCCCCGGAGGTGACCACAGGGCGCGGCAGACCTCTCCTGACCCACCCGCTGCTCCCCTCAGCAGTGGACTTCGTAGATCTGCCTGCTCTGCTCCCTGCTCTGTCTCTGGTGAATCCTCTCACCCTCCACACCTCTGGCCTGTACCCCAGTTCTGTATGAATAAATTAAAAAAAAAAAAAGTTGATATGTTGGGGCCCTCCCTGGTGGCACAACGGGTTAGGATGTGGCACCGCAAGCTTGCTGCAGCAGCTTCAGTGTGAGTTCGATCCCCCACCCTGGAAGTGACCCACATGGCACGGCAGACTTCTCCTGACTCACTTGCTGCTCCCCTCAGCAGTGTACTTCATCGATCTGCCTGTTCTGCTCCCCAGTCTGTCTCTGGTGGGTTCTTTCACCCTCCGCATCTCTGGCCTGTACCCCAGTTCTGTATGCACAAATAAATCTTAAAAAAAAAAAAAAAAGTATGTGAAGTGGAATGGACTCATTGCTGGTCACTATTTTGTTTCAGCTTTTTTGCTTTATTGTTTTGTTTTGTATATAAAATCATTCAGTCTGTCTTAATTCCGTTAAAAATAAGATTTAAAAATACCTTAATTGTTATGAGGTCTCTTTTGGGCAATAACCCCTTGGCCCTCAGCACAGGACTGAACTGTGTGGCCGCACTTACACATGGATTTTCTCATAACAGACTAACATAGACTCACCCTGTCAGTGCTAAAGATGTAGTTTCTCTTCGTTATGGTCCTCTTGATAACTTTTTTTTTCTAGTTCATTTTATTGTAAAAATACAGGACATAATAATATGTCATGTAAAGATACTTTATGTGACAATAAAGTAATCTAGAAAAGTTACTAGTAACAGTAGCAGGCTATCAGTACTTAAGTTTGAGGGAGTTCCGAGTTACACTTAAAAATTTGATTGTGTAGAGAGTCAGCACCCCTAGCCTTTACATTCTTCAAGGGCCAGCTAATTTAATTCTTTGTCAGCAGCCTGTCTTGATACTGTAGAACTATCCCTTAGCTGGTTTTCAAGGAAGATGCGAAACCACTCACCACCTAGACTCACACCCTGTTCCTACGAACAGTTCTGAAAGGTTTGCAAATAATTTCTCTCTTCTGTGAAGGTTCGAAGGCCCAGCAGCTTCTGCAAGGACTGCAGGCCAGTGACGAAAGCCAGCAGCTCCAGGCTGTCATTGAGATGTGTCAGTTACTGGTCATGGGGAATGAAGAGACTCTTGGGGGGTTTCCTGTCAAGAGTGTCGTCCCTGCTTTGGTAAGACGTGCTTTCCCGCCCCTTTTTACCTCACTGGTTCCCTGATGGCATGAGTGTTTTGAATTTAAAAACATGATGGAACTAAGAAATGGTGGCGTGTGGCTTAGTGTTTTAATTTAATGTTTATTGTTTGAGTGACTGCTCATGAAGAATTGCTTGATTTTCTAAACCGTATCGTGATGATTTGTTACCCCATCCTTGATAATTCATAGATTGATTTTAAATTTTAAGCTGTTGGCCTTATCATGTAATACTCTGACTTGCTATGCCAAAATATGTATGCTTTGTGTTTTTACTTGCTGCTAATGAGTGGGGTAGAAATAAGCAGCTTCCTTTTGGGTTGTATTTACAGGCCATCACGATTTTATGTTTGTTGATTGTGTGTTTCATAGAGCAGTTAAGTCAAGGCAGGAGGTGTAGACCCAGTGCATCAGGTTTTGTTTAGCAAAAGCAAAGCAGCAAAGCAGAAGAGCCAAAACGAGACAACAAAAACTCCCACAACAGAGAAACAATTAAAAAACATTTTAATTACTTTTCAACATACTGGAAAGCTGATGTTTAGAACTTACTAACATCTTAACTGCTCGAACTTTCTAATGTGAAAATACAGGAAGGAAAATTACTGTCACCAAATGGTAAGCCCTGTAGCAGAATATCTTTTAAATCATGACTTGTTAATTTTCCTAAAGAAACTAGTTGTAATTTAAGATTAAAATTTTAGTTTGAATGAAATACTAATAACACGAACATAAATGTCATAAATATCTTAATAGCTTATCTTACCATGGAAATAGAAGTTAAAGGTACCATCTTCTTTAAAATACACAATAAACTGACAGCAATGAAATGATGATTTACATATCAGGTTGTTTCCATTTGGCCAATTATGGAGAGAGCTGAGTTCTTAAGGTGAGAACAGAACCACCACTGTCAGATTCAAGCTAACAGTCTCTATTCCACTGTGAGGATGACTTCACTCCGGCAAGGGTGGCAGAGAGTAGGTCACTTGGCTTGCCCTTTGCTGCCAACTCTCAAATCTTACCAGCTGCACTCTGACAAGCGGGCCTGTGAATTTGAGTGTTTAAGGTCGTCCTCGGTGCTCTCACTTGCTGCCCGTGCTAACATCCATAGTAACGGGTTCTGCAACCTGAACTAAAGGTTTTATGGTGTTAATCACTAAGAAAGAAATGGCAACAGAGGACCCGTTAAACTGCAATTTTTATCAAATAATGATGCTACTAAGGGCATATAATCCAGTTTCCTTAACTTCTGGTGGCTGACTAGATTTAAGTGCTGCTAGGGCTGCACAGGTTAGCTCATGTTACCAGTGACTGTTGGGGAGTTGTCCCCACTCAACCTCCACACCACTGAGTTTTGCCTTGTCTTCCACCGTGAGACTTCTGTGACATAAGCAGTCATTTTTGGAGAATGGGACTCTTTACAGCATTACTTCCCAGTATGGTCTACAGTATAGATTCGTTTCTACCATAAACTGGAGGATTGTTTTTTCTGTTATCGTAACAACCCTCTTGAATTCAGAGCTGTTTTAAGTGACTCCAGATGCTCTGAGACAGAGTGCAGTTCAGCCCAGAAATAGCGGATGTGCGCACGAGCATGTGTTGGTCTTTTCAGCAAAAATAATTACTAAGTTCTCTGGAAACTCGCTAACTTGATTTAACATAATTCTGAGCTGAGAACACACTCATGCTAAATGAGTGCTATAGTAGAATATCTGATGTCAGTTATTATGGTTCTGCATTTAATTGCAAAGTATTTTATAGCCTACTTTCAGTGCGGTGGATTTTTGCATTGAACTGAAAGACAGCGGCGACTGCCCATTTGCCCAAGAGGCCAAAGTCTTGGGTAGCATTGAGAGCACTACGAAGATGGGTTGTCACACCCAGCAGTACCTCGTTCCCTCTTTTGAAAAACCCTGTTGAGAGCAACATAAGGTCTTCTGCACAACAAAACTAAACAAAAATGACATATTTAGACTTACCTGTGTACTTTGAGTAGTTGTGTTGATTTGACTTTTACTAGTGCACAGTTCTGTTTGATCAACATTGTATGTAAATGCTGTGCAGCTGAGTTTTGTACCCTGAGTTAAATGGTGTTTAGCTCAACTTTCAGAGAAGCTTCTTCACAAGGGTTGAAGCTGTGGTCTTGCATTGATTGCTTGTCTGTTTCTGTCTTACTTATTAACACTTGTTACATTTTCAGTGAGTCAGTTGGTAATGGACTTTTTTTCTGAAGGGAGTTGAGAAGTATCTGAAGGATTAGTTGAAAGACTTGCTCTTTATTGCGCACCAGGAGATGGTGACTGTGGCAGTTCCCAAGTGTTTGTATTGTGCTGTGTAAACCATTTTCTGTGCGTGTATGCTAGGTTTTAACTATCAAGTTCTTGTATGATCATAGGTTTGCACTATTTTCCATTTCTCTTGAAATAGAGGAAGAAGTACTTGTAGGGCTTTTTTTTCAAGACCATAGCTCTGATACTGCTTTGATTTTTTTTTTTTTTTTGTCTGACAGATAACATTACTGCAGATGGAACATAATTTTGATATTGTAAGTATATCCTATATTTTTAATAATGCTTTCAATTTAAATTTGAAATTTTTAATGGACTAAAAATGTCGCTGTTTTTTCTAGATGAATCATGCGTGTCGAGCCTTAACATACATGATGGAAGCACTTCCTCGCTCCTCTGCTGTTGTAGTAGATGCAATTCCTGTCTTTCTAGAAAAGGTAATTCTTGTTACCAGCCTGTTTATAAGTAGGCATAATGAATCAAGCTGAGAACTTGTGACTTCTAGAATTTTCAAACAGAACATCATATTGTAAGGTTGCATTAAAAGATACTTTTTAGCATCCATTATGTAACAAAAGTATGTTCTGCAGCCAAGATTCCCAAAACAAATAATCCTGTTTAGCAGACAAGTAAGGAAATGGATGTTAATAATGCATTTATAAAATCAGCCCTCTTTTATAAATTTAGTATTTACTACCACATTAATAGAAGATCTGTCAGAAAAGATCTTAAAACTCTTCATTAAAATAAATTCACTCATTATTTCTAGAAGACAACTCAGTGAGGTTGGTAGCTATTTGCACCCTCACTTGACAGCAGAGAAGGCTGAGATGCGGGGTCCTTGCTCATGTTTATAAGTCAGTGGAGAAGGGAAGTTCTGTCATGTGCTCTGTGGTCATGTTTTAGGTTTGTCTTAAGTAAGGGCTGCTATCTTTAAAACTAACAATAAGGGCCCTCCCTGGTGGCGCAGGGGGTTAAAGCACAGTACTGAGAAGCTAAAGCCACTTCTGCATGAGTTCGATTCCTGCCTGCCCCGGAGGTGACCACATGGCGCGGCAGACCTCTCCTGACCCGCCCGCTGCCCCCCTCAGCAGTGTACTCAGTTGATCTGCCTGTTCTGCTCCCCACTCTGTCTTTGGTGAAGCTTCTTGCTGCCCCTGAGCCTCTGGTCTGTACCCCAGTTCTGTATGCACAAATAAATAAATCTTTAAAAAAAAAAAAAACTAATAATAAGGTTTACACTTTTGGCTAACCTTGGAGTTGAATATGGTATAAAGTTTAAAACCTGATTTTTGAAAATCTTGAAAGTTTAAAATTATGCGATTGGATTTAATTTATTCTGTATGTAAAGCACAATACTCAGTATCTTAAAGCATCAAGATGGTTGGAAAGAAACTAATGACCACATACTGGCTTGAGGTCATCAATCCCTGGTTTCCTGTGCTAGGTTTCATGTCAGAAGCTTCAAGTCAGAGCTGTGGATTGATGGAAATTAGTGAAAATACTCTTGTTTGTTCTTGGGAAAATGCCTAGAAGAGAACTTGGGTGATCACCTTGAGTTGTCTGTTTTTATATTCCCAGCTGCAAGTGATTCAGTGCATTGATGTGGCAGAGCAGGCCCTGACGGCCTTGGAGATGCTGTCTCGCAGGCACAGTAAAGCCATTCTGCAGGCGGTGAGTGCCCGGGGGCTGGCTCCATCTACTGCCCGGCCTCGGGCCGCACTGGCTGGCTGGCCGGCTGGCCTCAGAGACTGCAGTGTGCGGGCACTCGATGTCTCAGAGCGACATGCTGGCCCTTTCAGAGGGTTTGTTTTAATTGCAGGTAAAGGATATTTCTTTTAACAGTTTTCTATATTTTAGGGTGGTTTGGCAGATTGCTTGCTGTATCTAGAGTTCTTCAGCATAAATGCCCAAAGAAATGCACTAGCCATTGCAGCCAACTGCTGCCAGAGCATCACACCGGATGAATTTCATTTTGTGGCAGATTCCCTCCCATTGCTCACCCAGAGGCTGACCCATCAGGTAAAATATGAACCTGTTTACTGTGCCAGAATTTTGTACATTTTTAAAAATGTAACAAAGATTTTTAAATCTCCTGACTGGGTATGATGTATAAGTTGAAAATGTTTTGATCTCTGTTTTTTCCTGCATTGTCCAGTCTATGCTATGCTAGGTTTGTGCATAACATTTTGGTGAATTTACCCCAGAGGAACTGTATTTCAAAAGTTTGATGTTGTCAACTGTGTTGGCTTTAAGAACTGCCTTGATTACTTCAGCAAACATTGTGAAAATGTTAGACTTCCCTTTGGGATGGCCACCCTTTCTTGAAAGGCACTGAGGGTGAGAGCAGACGAGAGACAAAACTGTGTCCCAAATAAAAATGAAGTGAAAAATGTAGGCTGAGGTTGGAGAGGAGCAGCAGCAATTACGTAGGAGACGGGGTGAGTGGGCCCGGTGACAAGCAGACCTTGTGAGGCTGTGGTGGAGGACAGATGATGAGCTAAGTCTCAAAGTTGTAAAAATACTGAATTTTCTCTTTATATAAATGTTTTATAGTTTTGTTACTGCTAAAGATAATTACTTTTTTAAATCTTGTTTTTAAATCACTTTTGCAAAGTATTTAAGGTCTCCTGGGAAAATTAGGTAGCATGAAATATGTTAAATAAGGGGTTTACATTAGCTGGATAAAATGGAGATTACTGAACCACTCTGGAGTGCTTGCTTCTAAGGTGAGTAAGACATGGTAGTGCCGTGAATTGTTTATTTTTCATGACTGAGATAACTCTGCGGTTACTAGAACTACATTCTCTAGTTGTGATTTCAGTACCTCATTTTGGAAGCAAGAGGAGAATCAAGAGCTAGCTGATGGCTGTTCCTGCAGCCCTCTCTCTAGACTCGCAGTGGCGGCGAAGCTGTAGTAACTTTTAGTTACTTTCGTTCTTATACAAACCTGTGCAGATCTCCACCTGCAGCCCAGTTATCAATTAGGAAGAAGCAAGGTCTATCAAAACTCATATTAAGCCGTTAAGTTGTTTTTCTGTCCCTCAGATGATTTCAGATGTTTTTTCAACTAAGCTGTCAATTTTCCTAGGTTTTGTGCGCAGTGAATGTAGCACACCTCTGCTTAGTTTGTCATGTGGGTAACCTCTGGCTTAAAATACATGCTTAACTTTTCAGTCTTTCTGTGTATGCATGCTTTATTCTTACTGGCAATTTTTATTTTTAGAATGGTAGGATGTTCTTACCTAAACTCGTTTGAGCCGTGAATTGTAGGAGTACAGAATTGTTCTTTTTCTGTATATTTGCTTTTATCTGTTGGAGTCACACTAGAGGCTAGAAACCGATTCGCTCGCTTTGAAATCTAGCTGTTCTCACTGAGCCCTGTGTAGGCCTCCTTGTGTTTTCAAAACTCCCAGCTTATTGAGTCACCCTTGGGATATTTGTGTTGAAGTAGTGATACATAACAATGAAAATGTTCTACCTTAATAACCCTAACTCTCCTTTATAAAAAATAGGACAAAAAGTCAGTGGAAAGCACTTGCCTTTGTTTTGCACGTCTGGTGGACAACTTCCAGCACGAGGAGGTAAGTTTCAGGCCTGCTGGCACTTCTGTGAAGCTGTTAGATTGTGGGTCACAGCACAGCGATTTCTTCTTTCTTGTGTCCGTGCAGAACTTACTCCAGCAGGTCGCCTCCAAAGATCTGCTTACAAATGTTCAACAGCTCTTGGTAGTGACTCCACCCATTTTAAGTTCTGGAATGTTCATCATGGTGGTTCGCATGTTTTCTCTGATGTGTTCCAACTGTCCGACCTTAGCTGTTCAACTCATGAAGCAAAGTAAGTGCTATTTTATTCTCCTATTGTCAACAGAAAAAGGGTTTTTTCCCCAACCCCATGAATAAGTCAGCTCAAGTCAGATTCAGCAGAACAGTTGATAAATGCCATTGGCACTGGATAGAGCACAGTAGAGGAATAAAAATGTGTAAAACATTGGTGATGGGGTAGCTCTGAGTTTTCAGATATTTAGTATATTGAAATTTTACCCTTTGTCATCCTCTAGGGTTAAAGTTCCAAAATCATTGCTGTCTGTACAATATTCATTACGTGATGGTGGTTCCTTAGGAGATTTCTGAGTTGGGTGTTACTTACTCATAAGGACTTGATTGCCACACTTCGTAGTCCTCTCTGTGCATGTTGTCTTTGTCACCATCATCCCGTCGTTCAGCTGATTCTAACTCTCCCTCCTCAGAATTGGAGCATGACTCTACCAAAGGGTGTCCCTGGTCTTTGCTGCTTGTCTGCTAAGTGCTTTGCTACTGAGCAGGAAATGGCATTTCATTGCATTGCTACTGCAATTGACCATTCCATTCTTAAGCCTTAGATTTCACACATTACTGTCAGGACAAGTGGGCTTTGCACAAGGTCAGGCGACTGGTGCGGTGCTGGTGGAGTGTTGATGCACTGATGTGAGCGCCTGCAGCGGGGCTTTATGCACCATTCTCATCCTGGAGGCTGCCTGGAGCCAGTTGGTATTCCCATGGGAGCCTTGGGATAAGTCTGTACTTCTGTTTGGGGGGAATCTCAGTTTTATATTTAGCTGTATTTCTTCTACAGTGGCACAGGATTTTGTAGAACAGTGTTTTTGAGGTGATTAATTGAAAAGATTCCTCTTACACTTTAAATCATTCTCAAACTTGGCACTCCAGAGAACACTGTTTGCTTTGTGCCATGAAGAAAGTGCTCTCTGCTGAGATACATTTGGGGAAGATTTCACACTTGGGAATAGTCACAGTGCGGTACTTACTAAAATCCATAAAGGCCCTTTGACTTAGGCGTGGCCTGGCATTGGAGTACAGACTGTCTTAACCACCTGCACTGCGCGCCACTCAGTGGCAGTTTGGGAAATGGTGGCCTTTTAACATTTTTTCTTTTAATGCGATTTTTTTTCCCTTCTTTTGCATACTCCATGAAGTTTGCCATATAGTCAGCATGTGGTGCCACTAGATTTATGTATTCTTTTTGTAGGAATAGCAAAGACCCCCCCCCTTTTTTTTCTTTTGCTATTCGCTGATCTCTCTCTTTTTTAATAATCCTTACTCTGTACCATTACATATATTCACATTTCTTAGAAATGTTGGTAAATTCTTTTTTAAGAAATTTTTCAAAATTTTTAGCGCTGCTTGTGAAATTTCTGGCGCAAAGATTTAACTTCACATTTCCGCCCAAGTCAGTGCCAACAAAGACCAGACTTGTCTTTTTTTTTTTTTAAAGAGTCACTGATTTATTTATGCACACAGAACTGGGGGACAGGCCAGAGGTGCGGGGCGGTGAGAAGATTCACCAGAGACAGAGTGGGGAGCAGAACAGGCCGACTGACGAAATCCACTGCTGAGGGGAGCAGCGGGCGGGCCAGGAGAGGTCTGCCATGCTCCTTGGGTCAGCTCTGGGGCAGGCGGGGATCGAACTCATGCTGAAGTGGCTGTGCTAGCTTGCAGTGCTTTGTCCTTACCGGTTTTGCCACCAGTGAGAGCCCCAGCCCTGTCTTTACGCTCACAGATTGCCCAGTGATAAATCTACAGAGGCTGGTAGCTTCCGGCACTCAGTGATATACATAAGGCCAGTTTTCTTTCAAGGTCTTCCGTATGCTGAGAGCGGAAGCTGACATTTAATGATCTTCTTACACCAAGTTAGCATATTTAACTTCGTATAGGGTAATAGTTTTCCTGACCACAGTATGATAGGATGCAGATACTTTTAATTGCTGTTTTGGCCACTCATTTTCAATATATTTGAATCAGAGATGAGTATATGAATGCATTTGAACTGAGAATTAAAGTGTGTTGAGCACACTTTCATAAACGGCACAGTGCTTCTTAAGGAAAGTAGCAAAAGGTTCGGGACTTCTCTGCTGGTTCAGGATTCCGGTTAGAACACAGGTAGAACAGACCAGTGACCTCAAGCGTTTAGTTACTATCTTCATCGGTTTCACTTTAGTCTTGGATCACAACTCATTTTGATTTTGAAATTGCTGTCATCTCTTTCTTTATAAACAAACGGTTCTGATGGCCTGACTAGGGAACGGTTGCCTTTGAATTAGGTAAGACGAGTCTCATAGGCATTTCGTCCTGTGTTGGCTTTACAGACATCGCGGAAACGCTTCACTTCCTTCTGTGCGGCGCCTCCAACGGCAGTTGCCAGGAGCAGATTGACCTGGTTCCACGAAGTCCTCAGGAGCTATATGAGCTGACATCTCTGATTTGGTAAAGCTGGGGCTCATGATAACCAGGCGTGATATGAGGGCATGTTACTTCAGAGACATAACATTTGCCAGTAGTCACAAATGAAACTTAACAAAATAATTGTACTTTGTTTTCAGTGAACTTATGCCATGTTTACCGAAAGAGGGCATTTTTGCAGTTGATACCATGCTGAAGAAAGGCAATGCGCAGAACACAGACGGGGCCATATGGCAGTGGCGCGATGACCGGGGCCTCTGGCATCCCTATAACCGGATTGACAGCCGGATCATTGAGGTAGTAGTTTCATTGTACCGTCTAAATATGTCTCACTTGGTGGCGAGCGGGTGTAGGGATGGGGCAGGGAGGTGGATATGTGGACTGCAACGTGCTCAGTTTTGAATTAACTCAAGATTCTCTCATTTTGTCTCCTGAGAACAAGGTCCTCATTTCTGTTCAGGTCAGAAAACATGATGTTCTAGTCCTGCTTCTGCTGCTAACTACCTGATTGACTTGGAGCAAGTAATTTACATTCTTTGTTCCATAGTTTCCTCATTTCTGAAAGGAGACACTGGACGGTCGGGCTGCGTGTTCCTAAATGGCCCTTCCGTTTCCTGTTCCACAGCATCTCTTAGATGCAAAGGCGCGCATGCAGTTAGCTGTTCTCAGTACTGTTAGGAGCAGAAAGATGGGGACAGCTGAGTGGCTCTGGGAGAATGATGTGAACTGTGTTAACTGCCTAGACTTGGAGAGTGCAGACAGTTGCAGACTCATGTAGGATGCATCTGCGCTGGTGTAAAGTGGAGAACAATAACACAGCATATGCAAAAACTAGAGAAAAGGCGATACAAATGAAAGCTATACTCACACATTTGTGGTGATTTTCTGTAAAGGCTTTGGATGGCTTTTACTCTGACTTCTCTAGTTCCCAGATTAGATGTGCTCTGAAATATTTTAAAAGTCACAGTTCAGCAAAATTTTGCGCTAGTTTGGAAATTGTTCGCCACTGTATTTGATGAAATGGCATACATCGTTTTTGTGTTTTCTTATAAGATGCCTCTGAGTCTTATATTTTCTAATTTTAACTTGTGATACTTGGATTTTGAAGAGACTCACACTTAGTAGACATTCTTTTTTAAAATGTCCTCTATTGATCTCTAAAAAATGAAATTCTGAAAACTTTTTTTTTTAAAGATTTATTTATTTATGCATACAGAATTGGGGTACAGGCCAGAGGTGTGGGAGGTGAGAGGCTTCACCAGAGACAGAGTGGGGAGCAGAACAGGCAGATCAAGGAAACACACTGCTGAGGGGAGCAGCGGGCGGGTCAGGAGAGGTCTGCCACGCCATGTGGGTCACCTCCTGGGCAGGCGGGGATCGAACTCATGGCTGAAGTGGCTTTAGCTTCTGAGTGCTGTGATTTAACCCGCTGCGCCACCAGGGAGGGCCCGAAATTCTGAAAACTTTTCATTAAACTATTGACTTACAAAATCAAAAATGAAAATACCTGAATTCAGAACCACCTTTTAGAGGTAGTCAGGTGTGGCTGGTTTTTCGCATGTGGTCAGCCTTAGCTGTAAGCAGGTCATGTCTCTAACTCTGAGCATTCTTCTTTCTAGCATTTTCCTGATAATTGCATCTTCACCACTAGCTTAATTCACTTCGTACTTCCTAAGGGCCCGTCTGCCATTCATCCTAGGCGTTCCATAGACTGGACTGTGTTCTGAATGAATGCTTTGTCACTTTTTTTGGGCTAAAGTCAGTCAGGGTGTTCTCAGATCGTCTCATCATAGACCTGCGCCGTGTGGTGCCTGCAGCTCAGCCCCGGGGTGGCATCTCGAGTCCATTGTGCGCTTTCAGCCCCCGGCACCACCTACATGTGCGGTGCAGTGTATTGACCTAAGGACAGTTGTATGGGGTTTTTTGTTTAAAGGAAGATTTTGGTGAACTGCTAAGAATCCAGGATGTAGCCTCAGAATCACATGCTAAGATTTGTGAATAACAATTTTTTCCTATCAGCAGTGTCTTAAAAGCTTTAAAACACAGTGATTCTACATGACTGGATCTTCTGTCAAAACTCTACTGCATTTGTGTCTAGGAGCCTGCAAGGCCTGTGTTGTACACCTGTGTTAGCTAAGAATGAGCTGATGAATGAATGCATTTTGTCATCACCAGACTAATAAATTTTTCATATTCTGTTACTTTACCTTCTAAAATCTGATGAAATACATATCTAAGTTAGCATTTATGGAGGGTCCCCACTGTGTCTTAAGTTAATGAATTTCTCCATGTTTATATTCAAGGTTTCTCTCTCTTTGCTCTCAGGCAGCCCATCAGGTCGGTGAGGATGAGATAAGCTTGTCCACTCTGGGACGAGTTTATACTATTGATTTTAATTCTATGCAGCAAATCAATGAGGACACGGGAACAGCACGTGCCATTCAGAGAAAACCTAACCCCTTAGCCAATGCTAACACTAGTAAGTGCCTTTATATACTGTCATCTGATGAATAGTGTAATAATTGTGTCACAGGGTGTCCACAATAAACTGAAGAAAGTCGCGCAGGAGTGGTGGGGTGTTGGTAGCACGTGCTTGAATCGCTGCGCCAGCCAGTGTTGCACAGCCAGCACCTTCCCCCGGCTTTCCTTAAGAAGTGATTTTCCATGTCCCGGACTCTGGTCAGAACTGGTCCAAGCGGTTTTTTTGGTCTGATCTTTTTGTGCCTATTCTACTTTTCTGCGCATCCACACTTGTCACATTGTTTTTTCACAGCCTACTGTCTCACCAAATTGTCTTCCTAACTAACGGAGACTAAACAGATGGTGATTTCAGGTGTTTGCCATGTGTCTCTGAGGGGCTTAGTGTGTGGTTTTACAGAGCTAGACCCAGAAGAGGGGTCAGCAGCTCTTTGTGGAACAGTTATTTGACTTTGTGCAAACTGCTCAACACCGGTACGGTAGCCCCAAAGTAGACTTGTACAGGATGTAACAAATATGCATGATTGTGTGCTGAGAGCACTTTAAAGACTGTGTGACGGCTCGTTTGGGCCTGCCAGTTATGTTTTGCCAACCCCTGCTCTGGAGCTTTTTCTTATATCAGCTACCTTTCCCTTAGTCCCTCCAAGCCAAGGGAGAACGCCTTGCCATTCCATAGCTTCTGACTGAACATTCCCTGCCCACTTCTTGAACTGTTCTTTTCTTACCAGTAGTTCGGCTGATTAGTGCTGAAATGTTCCCGGAATATCACTGAATGTGTTTTAGTAAAAGAAGAGGTGCAGTGTATTCTTCAGCTGGTCAGGATTGAGGTGGTCTGGCTGGCAGGATTTGTTCTGAATGCCACCCTTAGCTTCTTCGTAGGCCCTGTTTGTCCACGTTAGATGATTTGTCTTATAGCCCAGCATTTTGGGTAGCATTTTAGATAATTACATTAGCTCAAATGCTTTACACAGTTTATTGTACTCCTGCTGCCTGTGGTTCTCAAGATTGCACTTTTTTTTTTTTTTAAAACAGGTGGATATTCAGAGTTAAAGAAGGATGATGCTCGAGCACAGCTTATGAAAGAGGATCCGGAACTGGCTAAGTCTTTCATTAAGACGTTATTTGGTGTTCTTTATGAAGTGTATAGCTCCTCAGCGGGACCTGCGGTCAGACATAAGTGCCTTAGAGCAATTCTTAGGATAATTTATTTTGCGGATGCCGAGCTTCTGAAGGATGTCCTGAAAAATCACGCTGTTTCAAGGTGTGTTCATGGAAATGATGAAAACACATTTTAAAAATTCCAGTCACCGCTAGTAATTTCAGAAATCTTTAAGGAAATATAGAAAGACATGTGTAGAACAGTTTCTTTGAAATTTCTTGAACCCTTTGATAAAGAATAAGAAAAATGTGAACGTTGAATATTTAGGAAAAGTTTTTGCTTAGATGGACTGCTTTTGTAATTAAAGTGTTTTGCTCTGAAATTAGTGTGGCCAGAAATAACTCTTATAGGCAGGTTTGTATAAACAATGCTTTCTCTCCTTTAGTCACATTGCTTCCATGCTGTCGAGCCAAGACCTGAAGATTGTGGTTGGAGCGCTTCAGATGGCAGAAATCTTAATGCAGAAATTACCTGATATTTTTAGTGTTTACTTCAGGAGAGAAGGTAATTTCATTCATGATTGCTAGTCTTTTAGCCTGGGGAGTTTTTCAATAGATGAACAGTTATAATCCCTAGACCACCAATTAAGCTCTTTTATAAAAGCCATTTGGATGTTTCTAGTGTGTCTGTTGTATGTTTGTTAATGCAGGATGTCAGAGGTGCACATACTCTTACTGAATTCTTTGTAAGTTTCCACGGTGTTATTTTTTTTATGGCCTGAACCAACCCATGACTTTGTTTTTAACATTGATAACATACCACTACCCGTAAAGATTCCCTTAAAAAGTCAGAGGTCATGTAATTTCCCAGTGAATTGTAATAGGAGGTCACACCTGTTGTGAAGTCAGAGGGGCTAATTTTACTTGATTGTGTACAGGAATCAAGTAATATTTTGGAGCTTGGAATTTTTCAGTTGGTCCTGTTCTCAAATTTGAGGAATTTGAATGTTGAAATCAACCTAGGTTACCTGTACTTTTCCATTCTGTTTTGAATATCTCAGAAATGAAAACTGAGTACATTGTCTTTTCAAGTTTTTTAAACCTGTCAGAGAAACCTAATTGATCAGCTAATTTCTTTCTTATCCATGGAAATCGAGATCCTTTTGTTCTTTAAGATACTCTGGTTTTGTGAAATGCTGGCATTTTCTCCTAAGGAGTCCTAGCTTCCTACCTTCTTTCTTATCAGCAATCCTGGTTCTTTCTGTTTATGATCTGCCTTCCATTCTTTTGATCATAGTTACTTAAGCTGGCTCCATGTCTCTTCATTTCTCCAGAATGCATGTGTCCTGCTACTATAGTACATTAAAGCAAAATAGAGAGAGGTTTTCACCATTTAAAATGAACTCTTCTTAAGGAAAAATAAGTGTTAAAATATCCAGCACTTCATAGTTAATATGAAAGGCCAGCATCTCTCCATTTCCAGGAGAACTATTGTTAACTAACTAGTCATTTGTACTAATAGATGGTTTCTGTAAAAATTTTATCTATTCTTACTTTTAGCCTGAGGTTACTTTATGTTGTATATTGTTTGATATTTGAGTTTTTTTGGTGGCTGTTTGCATTTAGCTTTGTCTAACTTTCTAACTTAGAAGAACTGTGAGAATCAATGTCATTTTTGCAAAAGTGGTTACTTTTTTAGAAAGTCCTTTCTCAGAAGAATCAGTTACACCATCACCTTGAATCTCCTGCCCTTAGATATTTAGGGAGCACATCCAGCGGAGGTCAGCGGAGGGCCCTTCATTGTCCTGCTGCTCTGCCTCGGGCCGGGGGCTTGTCCTCTGGCGCTGCTCACAGCCTCGCCCTCCTTGAGACTCTGTGGCGCCTGCTGTGTGCTCCAGCTGCTACACGCTCTCGCATAAGCAAATCACTTCGTTGGTAATTTCTTACTACCCAGCGTGTCTTTCCCACCTGTCTTTTAAGTGCCTGGGCTCGTGTTTCTTGTCCATAGCCCTTTTCTTAACACCTAGCATACAGTCGGGTATGTGATGGCTTGTGGTAAATATTGGGACACTTTCTAAAGGATCTTATTGTTTCTATTTCTAAAGCATCCAGTAGAAGGTTCTGAACTTTTCCCACCAAAATGTGAACATACAGCCTTAGGTCCAGACACAGCAGTCGGCATATTGTGTGCAGAGTTTGCGGTACCACTGGTCGTTCCTGGGAGCCCCTCCCCTGTCTGCACTCCCCTGTCACTAGCCCGGCCCAAGTCGGAGCCCTTGCCTGTCATTTGCTACCAGTGTCCTTGTGCGCCTCTGGGGCTGTGGGAGTCGGCACCTCCATTCCTTGTATTTCGGATACGGCGTAACCTGGCCTCATTGTAGCTTTCGGGCGACCCCAAATCTTTCTCTCCCTTTCTGCTGCGAAGGTGGGCAGGTGGTCCTCTGTTCTCTGTAACTGAAGTTTGCTTTTATAATTGGCCTGAGTTTCTAGTAGGACTTTATTAGGACCCTGTTCTATTGTGATGATCTGGTTTTGAATATTAAAAGGCATCCAGTACAAATATCTTCCCTTAAATTTCAACTTGCCTGCTCCCTTTCTGTATGCAGTCAAGTTGAAAACACTAACTTTTCTTCTCCCTAGAAACTGGGCCTGTTAGCCATTACTTCTAGATCAGTGTTGCAGGGAGTAGGTCCTGATTGAATCTTCACTCTTCCTTTCCATACAGGTGTAATGCATCAAGTGAAACACTTAGCGGAATCAGAGTCTCTGTTGACAAGCCCGCCAAAGGCGTGCACAAATGGTTCAGGGGCTTTGGGGTCCACGACATCGGTCAGCAGTGGAACTGCCACAGCTGCCACCAATGCCACGGCTGACTTGGGCTCCCCCAGCTGGCAGCACAGCAGAGATGACTCTCTAGACCTGAGCCCTCAAGGGTAAGTCAGAGCCCCGCATGATGTCTGTGGTCTTTGCCTCAGCTGTGCCGTGTTTTGGAGCCTCCGCCAGGGAATGAAGTAGGAGACTGTCCAGGAGAGTGCACCTTTTTTTTTTTGTAAAGATTTATTTATTTATTCTCACAGAACTGGGGTACAGGCCAGAGGTGGAGGGGCGGTGAGAGGATTCACCAGAGACAGAGTGGGGTACAGAACAGTTCGATGGACGAAGTGCACTGCTGAGGGGAGCAGCGGGCGGGTCAGGAGAGGTCTGCCGCGCCATGCGGTCACCTCCGGGGCAGGCGGGGATCCAACTCATGCTGCAGTGGCTTTAGCTTCTTAGTGCTGCGCTGTAACCTGCTGCGCCACCGGGGAGGGCCCGAGAGTGTACCTTTTAATAGCTTCCTGTTTGTGTTTTGTTGGGCATTTACTGGGAATGGCCGGGAAACTGGACAGTGATTGGAAAGCAACTGGGTAGGAACTGCAGTACCATGCACGGTTCTTCCCAGTGCACGAGGAGACTGGGGCTGGTGTCGGGCAGTGTCGCACACGCTTCCCAGGCGGAGGCATTCATTGGCCCTCGTCGCTAACCCCTGCTCCTAGGACGGTGTGCTATATGCCATGTACGTGCAGGCTTCAGGTAACCCAGATATGAACATGGTGAAAATATGAAAAATAGACTTTAGAATGTAAAAGGGAGGGGGAACCTTGATATCCCATTTATTTTTTAATTAGCAGGTGGGAGGAGTTTTGTCCTTGATAAAGGAAAATGGGAATTTTTGATTAAAGAATTCTCTGCTTCCACATATTTTCAGTTCTTTTGTATTCTGTACTACTGGGAATGTCTCCACACCCTTGTGCTGGTTTTCATTTTATTGTCTTGAATCCAATGATTCTGTTGAGCGTGTTTTTTGTTCCTTTGATGTTAGAAATTTAATTTTGCCATATGAATGGTGCTTGAGGGACCACTCCATTATGAAATTCAGAACACACTTTTTACTCCGAAGGTGGAAAGTAGACCTTAGTAAAAGCATAGTAATAATAAAGTGAGACCCCAAAACTTAACCTTGTGAACTGCAAGGTAGCAGTTCACAAGGGGCTCCCTTCCCCAGCAGTGGTCCTATCCAGCTAACTCTGACCTCTGGCAAATCTGGGGCAGTGGTTCAAACCGGAACTCCTGGCACACTGGCTGATGCTGGAGGGGCTGCTGCATCTCGGTAGTGCCCATGTTTGGGGCCCCAGCAAGGAGATGGGGCCCCAAGAAAAGCAGGGGCCCTCTACCTTCTCTGCTTGGAGAAGCTGTTTCCCCTTGTAGCCGTTCCTGCTCGCTCTTTCCTCCCTTAGCTGCTGCAGCGGCCTCGATCATTGCTGGACTTCACTGCCAGGGCAGGCATGGTGCCCGTGGTGCCCTGTGCCTGCCGCAGTGGCTGCAGCACAAACAGGTGTAGCCCCTCTGAGGCACTCTAAGGCATTAAAGTTGCTTATAGATCTGAAAGTTGATTATTTTGAAGAAGTGTGAAGAGCCATTTCCTCAAAATATTGTCAGAATTTTAAGTATTTCCATTCCTTTCTAACATAGTTTCTCATGAAAAGTCCTTGTGTCTCTATATAATGTTTTAAAGATGTTTTTGTGCATACAGAGCTCAGGTACAGGCCAGAGGTGTGGTGCGTGAGAGGATTCACCAGGGACAGTGTGGGCTGCAGAGCAGGCAGACTGACAAGGGGCACTGCTGAGGGGAGCAGCAGGCAGGTCAGGAGAGGTCTGCCACGCCGTGGGTCAGCTCCCTGGTAGGGGATCGAACTCGTGCTGCAGTGGCTTCAGAGAGCTTCATAATGCGGTACTTTAACCCGCTGCACCACCAGGGAGAGCCCCTTTGTATATTTTTAAAGTGAAGAATCATTCAAGCTTTAAAGCCTATTCTTTGGAACCTCGCTGGCCCTGATTGCCAGGCATATTGAAAGCATTGTTTTCATTTGACATGTCAGATGTAAGAAACCCATAATTTTTTTTTTTTCAGATTTGGGTCACAAAGTGAGCCAGAAAGGTTTTTTCATGTTACCTATTTTGTGTAGCTTCATTAAGATTCTGTTGATACTTCACACTGCGTCTAGTGTTGAGATTAGTTAAAATAACGAAGGTTATGCATGTTATATTTTATGTAGGCTGTTCACACTATCACCGCCTAGGTTTGTTTACAGATGGGGGTGTTTAGAAACTGTCGCTAAGTATTTATAAATATGCATTAATGCCACTGCACACAACCAAGTTACTTTGGGTAATGGCAGTTTGGAAAGTAGTTTTGATAATAGTATACAATGCTAGCTTTTTCTCTTTTCTCATCATTTAAGTCAGAAAAGAAATGATTTAACATAGTTCTAGTTTGTGATTACACAGGATTTTTTGATGCTGGTGCTTTGCATTTATATCAGTTTTATGTACTTTCTGTATGTTTAGTAATAGAATTTGGTACAAGATTAGTGAGATGGCTCTTTGATTTTCTTAGTTCAAGATAGCCAAACAGTTAGCTATTTTCTGATCTGATCATTTCTTGTTACTGTACATGTCTAAAACATGACTGACACATAGTTGGCATTGATAGGTAATTTCTAAATGAAAAATACCCTGGGCCAGCAATATTTTAGCACTCATTGTTTCTGCCATCTTTGCTTGATTTTCAATGAGTGAAGATAATAAGTTTGGGTAACTGCTAAACTTAACCCCATGTTTTCCCATGTGACAGTCGATTAAGTGATGTTCTAAAGAGAAAACGACTGCCAAAACGAGGGCCGCGAAGGCCAAAGTATTCACCTCCGAGAGACGACGACAAAGTAGACAATCAAGGTAATTCCTTTAATGAAACTAGGGGGCGGTAAAGGGAAACGAGCGTCAGCTTCATTAAATCTCCTAATGGCTTCGAAGTATATCTGAGTTTCCTGACATCCTTGTGTTCCTAGTTTTCAGCTAGGTAAACCTACCAAAGGTGTGAATCTTGAGAATTTAGTTGGTCGTCATCAATACGCAAAAAGGATTTAACTGCCGCTCGCTTTTCTCTTCCTAGCTAAAAGCCCCACCACTACTCAGTCACCTAAATCTTCTTTCCTGGCAAGCTTGAATCCAAAAACATGGGGAAGGCTAAGCGCCCAGTCCAACAGCAACAACATCGAGCCAGCACGAACCGCGGGAGTGAGCGGGCTCGCCAGGGCCGCCTCCAAGGACACCATATCCAATAACAGGTGAGGCAGGGAGTGCTGCTGGTTCCTGTTCTCAGATTCGAAAAGAAAAGCATGTCGGCCTGCCCAGTGTTCAGCGGCCGTGAAACCAAGGGCCCGGGCGCGGGTTTCAGCGAGAAGCGGGGCCAGTCAAGCTGGGATAGTCTCTCCTTGAGCCCTGTATCTGACTGACTGTGTCCTAAGTTCCGGTCACGTTTCAGAACTCCATTCACCCTCTGCCTGGGTGTTGGGCATGCTTAAAACCCCACCAACTCATATTCTTCTTGGAACTGTTCCTTACTTTTGTTCTAGGCAGTTTTCTGTCTCCACTCATTTTATGATCGGCTTTTTTAGGCTTTAGAGTAGAGCCTCTTCTTAGAGCTTAGAAGTATTTCATTGTTGCCTTTAAAAAATATTTCTTTAAAATCCTTGAATTTGTTTTGGTTTTTTGACTCTGCATATAGTACCTCAACAAAGGTCACTTCTTTGCAAATAAGAAATTTTTATAAAATCAAATGCCATTGAGAGAACAAACAGGCTCCTTTGGTTTGGGTGATAACACTGTCCATGTCAGTTAATAAAAGCAGGTAAGCAGATGTATTTCTGTAGCCATCAGAGCCAGGCACTCAAAAGCCAGGTGCTTATTTGCTAGTTGTCACTGCACCTCAGGCACCAGCAGGCACGTGCGTCTGGCCTCCAGTGCTTTCCCTCGGCACTCCAGGAAGCGCCCATAAAGTTCCATGCCGGCATGTCTGTGCCTGAAGAAGAAACAGCCATGTAAAATTGCTTTCAGGCAAGTGTTTAGGACATGGTTAGACTTTAGACTCCCAACAAGTGACAACTTGTCCACACTTACGTGTGACCTTAGGTGTGTTTCCATGCGCCTTTCTCTAGGTGCATCCGACTGCATTTTAGAATGAAGTTAATTTGATAAACGTGGCCTCCGGACTTAATACTCGACCCAAGGGGGTTGTAAACGCTGCAGCAGTTTGCCTTTGTTCTGATACTCTCCGTACACCCAGATTGAATATCTCACTTTTCCTTCTTGCAGAGAAAAAATCAAAGGTTGGATTAAGGAGCAGGCACATAAGTTTGTAGAGCGCTACTTCAGTTCTGAGAACATGGACGGAAGCAACCCTGCCCTGAATGTTCTTCAGAGACTTTGTGCTGCAACTGAACAACTCGACCTCCAGGTGCGCCATTGTGCGCTCACCCCGCCCCCGTGACCAGTTGTCCCTCTGTCTGTCACAGAGCTGCAGCGTCACCAGACCACATCTTCAGCACTGGCATGCCTTCTCCTTGTCCCTTGCGTCCAGCTCACATTTCATTCTGCAGTGCGCCTATAATCTCACTTTCGCTTGGTGGCCCCTCTTTTTTTGCACCTGTGTCTTAAAAAGTAACTTGAGAAATATTCTTCAGCCTTGCTCTTCTTCATGAGGTCTTTGGCATGAAAGTCCACAGGACCTGACCACCTCCTGGGCCTACTGATAGTCAGAAGACGGTTGAGGCTTAGTTGGTATTTCCTATTTCAAAGAAATGTCCATGTACTTTGAGCAATTTGAGTGATACCTGCTGGCTAAGGCATTGTCGTTCACATTCAGATTTTAAGTTTAATAATTTAAAGCCACACTTGTATTTTATCTCCCATCCTGGCATTGTATTCTCATCCTTTGTCTTTAAAACTATAGTGGTTAAATGTGAAGATAGTCCCCGTGGTACGGTGGGTACTGGCTTTCTGTTTGGAGATGCCTAACTTTGGTGAGTGTGTGCGAGTGTGGAAGCATGTTGCAGGGATGTGCTACTCCCCTACCTTGTTTATTTGGTTTTAGGTGTTGGAATGTATTGTGTTCCACACAGAGAAGTGTCCACTGTTTAAAATAATAAATGAATTCTTTCCTGCCTGTCAGGTGGATGGTGGAGCTGAGTGCCTTGTGGAAATCCGTAGCATAGTCTCAGAGTCTGATGTTTCATCCTTTGAAATCCAGCATAGTGGATTTGTGAAGCAGCTGTTACTTTATTTGACGTCTAAGAGTGAAAAGGATGCTGTGAGCAGAGAGATCAGATTAAAACGATTCCTTCATGTATTTTTTTCTTCTCCGGTAAGTTATTTGATGATGCTTGTGTATTTTAAGAGTTACTGTTCCCAGTGGGTATCCTGGTAATAAATGCCAGTAGGTGTTGGTCAAGATACAGAAGTAAACTTTGTCACTGGCCTGTGTACATAGTAGTCTCTCATCTGGGAATGTGTTTTAGTCTCAATGACTGTTTTTAGCTGTACTGCAATTGACCTTCTGTTTTTCAGGGATACCTAGATACAGGTAGACATGCCTTCCAATTTGTTACCAGTTCCATGCTACACATAGTTAAGTAACATTTATATTTAGGGGTAAAAGCCCAGACCAGTGTGCCTCTTCTTCCTGGACTTTCAGTGGGTGAGAGGAAGAGAGTAACTGACGCCGCTTGGACACTGTTAACTTCCACTTGTTTTTAGTCGCTTATGAGAAGGCATCCTTGGGGAATCTGCCTATGGATCAGCTGTGTGATCGTGCTGAGGAAAACTCTCCTGTATGTTAGGGAAGAGCTTCATTATACGCATTAGAGCATTGCTTATTATTTGAACTTGGGGGCCTCCCTGAAGCAGAAGTGATTTTCTTTAGACATTCATTAGGATATATATATATATAATTACTGATTGTAGTTTTTATAAGTGCATAAGATTATGTACAGGTTTGTGATCTCTGAGCTGAAACGGGGTGGTTTTCAAGAGTTGCATGTGTATAGTAGTATCCTGTATATTCCCTAATATCCCACACAAGTTCTCAGTAGTACTCCAAATGCATTAAAAACACTGGAACAGACTAGAATACATGATAAATGAGACCACGGTGGTCTTGTGTCTGAGTCAGATTTTGCCACCAATTGAGTCGTTTTCTCCAGACTTTTAGACTTTTGAATTGTGAGTAAGGGATTCTGGGCCTTACAAAAAGAGCACCTTTATTGACATAATTTATTACAAACGCTGTTCCAACTAAACTCATCAAAAGCATAAAAGATGAACGAGTACCTTTGGTAAAGCGGGAAGTAAGTATTCTTGTTGAGAGTATTCGTTTCCAGGAGGCCTCGCTCACCTGTTGGTTTATTTACAACCGTAGCTTCCTGGAGAAGAGCCCATCGGGAGAGTAGAACCAGTGGGTAATGCGCCTTTGTTGGCGTTAGTTCACAAGATGAACAACTGCCTCAGCCAGATGGAGCAGTTTCCCGTCAAAGTGCATGACTTCCCCAGTGGGAACGGGACCGGCGGCAGGTAAGGCTCAGCGCCTGGGTGCTGCCTTTGTGGAGGTAAAGCGGCAGGAGGGCTGGGGAAATGTGGGCCCGCCCAGGGACCCTTAGCTGGTGACTGAGGAAATGCAGTACTCTGAGGAGGGGTCAGATTCATCTTGTCTCTAAAGTCACACCGGTGCCTTGGATGTGATGTTCTACAAATCTGTAACCTGAGACTGTTGGCAACTCCTTAATTTAATACACTTGAGCATCAAAACTTGGGCTGAGAAGTTTGTGGCCATGGATAATATTTATGCTCTGTGCATAAATGTTTTTATTTACGATGGAAATAGTTACAACTTCGTGTTCTGATGGCTTTTAACAAGAATTTGTTTTGAAGTTTTGCTGTTTTAACAGAAGTTTCTGCTTTTTTCCCAGCAATATAGTAAGTAGGTGTATAGCATTCATGAGGTGCTATTGAAAGGATTCACTGTAAACATTTGTTGTGATTCATGGAATATTGTGGCAAGAGCAGAAGTCAAAACTATTAAGAAATCAGTTCGATTTGAATGTGCACCCTGAAGTTTTAAAAAGCAATAATTTTGATTGGATTAGCAACATGCATTGTTGGGTAGAAAAAGTGAGATGACTGTGGACGAGTGTTTTTCTTTAACATTTGATGTAGTATGTCGAGTTTTGATCACTGAATTTTCTAGAAGATTTTATGAAATAAGGGGACATTTTCAACGCCCATGAAAACCATGAAGCTTCTCATTTTTGTCTAAATTTGTGTAAAATAATGTATATTTACATATGTATCTGTCAATATAAGGGAATAGTCTTTCCCCATACCTCTTATTTGCATGGCTTAATGTACTTTATAAACCACATTTCAGACTTGTCTATGTCTAGCCAGCACTTCTTAGAAATGAACAATTATGGTTTTCTTGGGACTTTGTTTTTTTTCTTACCTCATTGTAACTTCTGGCACAGTGTTTGGTAGCTTCCCGCAGGTGTAGTCACTGTAGTTCCCCCAGCACCACAGCACCCTTGAGCCGCCACCTCAGGTACCTTGTGCTCTTCTTTCCCACTCTGACACCCTTGTTATTCCTCCCTATGGTCAGCTGCAAGTCTTGTCTTTCTCCGGACCCTTTGTTCGATTGCTCAATATTCAGCATATAAGTGAAACCATCTATGTGTGTTTCCTTCTGACTTACTGCACTGAGCATGATTCCTGCCAGTTCCATCCATGTTGCTGCAAATGACATCTTTGTGACGCCTGACTAGTATTTCACGGTGTGCACAAACCACATCTTTATCTCTTCTGGGGCATTTGGGTTGTTTCCAAATCTTAGCTTCTGGAAGTAGCGCTGCAATACTAGCAGCTAAGAGTGCAAGTTTCCTTTGGGATTAGTTTTTTGTGTGTCCTTGGGGTGGATTCCTGGGAATGTAAGCAGTGGGTCATCTGGTGAATCCACTTTTTAGTGTTTTGAGAAACCTCCACACAGCTTTCCATAGTGGTTGGACCAGTTTGCATCCCCACCAGTAGTGTAAGAGGATTCCTTTGTCTCCACATTGTTGCAGTCATTTGTTTCCAGTTTTTTTTCCAATATGTGCCGTTCTCATAGGTATGAGGTAGTATTTCATTGTGGTTTAGATTTGCATTGTCCTGGCAGTAAAGTGATAGACCATTTGCATTTCTTTAGAGAAGTGTGGTGGAGTTTTTGGGTTTTTGTTTGTTTTTTTTTATTTAGCTCTTCATGCCCACTTTTTGATTGGGTTGTTTGCTTTGGTTTTGTTGAGTTGTTTAAACTCTTTGTAGATCTTTGGTCCCAGTCCTTTATCAGATATACGATGTGCACATATTTGCCCTTCATTCAGTAGGGTGTTTCTTCATTTTAGTTGCTGTTTTTGCTGTACAGTCTTTTTAGTTTGATGGAGTACCAGCTATTTAATTTCCCCTTTGTAAAAGCGAACAATTAAATGTTATTGCCAGGTTTAGACTGGTATAACCATTAGAAGGCTTCATGTGAAAGAATATAGCACATTTTTTTCATTATGTTCCTGTTGCTTTATAACACTGTCTCTTGGGAGTGCAGGTTCAGCCTCTACAAATGTTAAGCCCCTCCCCCGCCAGAACACCGGTAACTCTCCATTAGGCCCTTCCCTTTCTGCAGGCTTAGTTCTGTAGTCAGATTTGTAGGTTTTGCTTGGCTTAATTTTTTCTGTTGCTTTGTTTTTTTATAGTTCACACATAAATGCAGTCATACTGGTATTTAAAGGTTAATTTTTAAAGTAATTTTGTAGCTGAGGTGTTTTGGGCTTTGGTTTATTTTTAAAGAAATAGGATCTAACCATTGCAGAAGTAAGCATGCTCAAATGGTTGAGAAACTTGATTTCAGAAAAATAATTAAATCTCAATGGGGAGGTGTTTCTGCTCAGATGGATTCATGGTGGGACAAGTGTTGAATGTTTTCTCCTTTTTTTGTTTAATACATTTCTATTGAGGTAACAGTCACTTGTAATACAGTGATGTGAAATCTGTAACCTTTTTCTTTTTACATTGTGACCACCCTCCCGCAATCTGTTCTCTGTATCAAAAGAGTTTTTGTTTTTTGTTCGTTTGCATTTTTATATTTCACAAAAGAACGAAATATGTTTTTATTTACCCCTCCTTTTGATTCATTTCATTTAGCCTGATACCCTGAAGTACACCCATGCTATTGCGAATGGCAAGGCTTTTTTTTAATCGAGTACTACTTCATTTCGTACATACATACGCCCCATCTTCTTCGTCCGTTTACCTTTTGGTGAATGGGTAGGCCAGTCCCATAGCTTGGATACTGTGAATACTCTGCAGTAAACATAGCGGTGCATGGATTGCTTCAAATTAGTGTTTTTGTATTCTTTGGATAAATACCCAGAAGTATGCACACCCTCTTCTGTTTATAACTTGTACTAAGTGACTTGAATTGCTTGCTTCATCAATTACTTAATTGCTAATTTCACACTTTGTATTTTATGAGCATGAAGAATTATATTAGTTTGCTTATTTGTATTACTGTATACTGGTTCTGAAAATAATAGAATAACTTTTTTTCATAAATTATCTTGAGCTTTTCTCTCAACAGAGGATCACAGGCTTTAAAATTTTTCAACACACATCAGTTAAAATGCCAGTTACAGAGACATCCAGATTGTGCAAATGTGAAGCAGTGGAAGGGTGGACCTGTGAAGATTGACCCTCTGGCCTTGGTACAAGCTATCGAGAGATACCTTGTGGTCAGAGGTACGTTCCATGTGTGTGTTTGCGCATGTATTTGGGGTGAAGGAGATGTACCGTTCTTCCTACTTACTGCCCTTTTTTCCCTCTCCTATCAGGCAGAGTGTGTTTTTTTGCGTAGGAAAGTGTTCGGCTTTGTAGAGGTTGACTGCTTGGGTGCTCAGTTAATTTATCTTGTTGGAATGTAGTAGAAGGGACATTTCGTTAACAAACTTTGTAGACCCCATTGTAACGGGCACATTTTTTCTAAGGATATGTTGCCTTAAACATATATCTAGGCTTTTCTTTGCCACCTGAAATTGCTAGGAATCTTAACAGTTTTCTTGGTCCCTAGGGTATGGAAGAGTGAGAGAAGATGATGAAGACAGTGACGATGATGGCTCAGACGAGGAAATAGATGAGTCTCTGGTAAGGTCTTATTCCCACCTTGTTGCGTTGTATGAAGTTCAGGACCTGTAGCTTACATGGATTTTGTTTTGCTTTATTCAGGCCGCTCAGTTCTTAAATTCAGGAAACGTAAGACACAGATTACAGTTTTACATTGGAGAGCACTTGCTACCATATAACATGACTGTGTACCAGGCTGTGCGCCAGTTCAGTATCCAGGCTGAGGATGAAAGGGAGTCCACGGATGACGAGAGCAATCCCCTGGGAAGAGCTGGTATTTGGACAAAGACCCATACAATATGGCAAGTCTGCACATGAGTTTGTTTGGTTTTCCGGCTTATCATCAGCTTTGATATTTGTATAGAATTCTTAGTAATGACTGATTTTCATAAAGAAAGGGAGCCATAAATCCTACATTTTACTAGTAAAAGCTCCTTCAGATATTTTATCATGTGTGGAAACATGCCACATACTTAGTTAGCTTCCTTGTTAGTTTTCAAGAAAGCTTGTAATCATGTTTACGTAGTTTGCATTTACTTTATTAGATTCGTTTCAGGTTTTTAAATGAGACAAAAATGTCTCTGTAAGGTGATACTCCTCGGGGTAAATTGCAAGTTGGGCCAACGAGCCCGCGGATCTGCCCTGCAGCTTTCTGTGTGTCCTTTGGGAGGCCTGCGGGCCAGGCTTCACAGGCCGCCTTCCCACATTCGCTCTTGGGGAAGGGCTTCTCGGCTGGCCCCTTCTCCAGGCAGCAGGGCTGTTAGTGCTCCCTCCACCCCGCAGGGAGGGAGCCGGAGGGGCCTCGGCATTGTCCTGGGGCTCTGTGGGCTCTGGCTTGCATTCGGCCTCTGTCAAGGAACTTGCAGGTGTAAAGTCTGCTTTTTCGGTTTGCATGTTCTGTCCTTAGGTACAAGCCTGTGAGAGAGGACGAAGAGAGTAATAAAGATTGTGTTGGTGGTAAAAGAGGAAGAGCCCAAACAGCTCCCACGAAAACTTCCCCTAGAAATGCAAAAAAGCACGACGAGCTCTGGCACGGTGAGTGCACCGGGAAGCACTGGCCGCGGGCAAGTGAAGCGCCACCGCGGGCAAGCGCCACCGCGGGCAAGCGCCGCTCGGCCGAGGCTTCCTCCGGGCTCTCCAGGCGCCGGCCCAGGCCCCGCCCTCCCTTCCGTGGAGGCCACACTGCCTGCTTGGTCCCTTCCCAGGGACGCCGCTACCAGGGACCCCCGCCTGCTGTCCCTCCCAACACTGGCGGCTGCTGAGGAGATTTTCCCTGGTCTGCAGAAACCAGGGCACCGTGGCGATTTCTTTTTTCCATAAAGCTGCCTTGTTTCTATTAAAATACGCGTTTTATTTTGAGATTGTTACAGTTTCTGGTTTTAGTTAAAATATGCTCCCTTTACGAAGTGATGATGCGTTTTTTATTTTCTTTGCTTGGTAAAAGTAAATAGCAACTGTCTGATCTCTCGCACTGAAAAAACTTGCTGTTAGTGAAATCTAAGCACAGAGGAAATACAGAGCCTGCCTGGAGGAACTGTTGGTCTGTGCTGAAGCAACCACAGGTCTTTTACCATATTCATAATTTGAGTGTGTTTACCTAACTTTTTATGTTTTAAGCTGGATATTAAAATGCCTGGCCCTTTCTCGTAAGTCACCTTACGTTGCAAAGTTTCATCATTTCTTCTCTGGCCTTTTTATTGGTAGCTTTGCTTCAGTTATAAAGAAGAAATGCAAAAGAGTCCGTTTTTCTCTTTTATAAAGTTTATTTGGGAATGGAAAGGGAAGTGGAGTTTTCATAATCCTGGATGATTTATCAGATAAAAGCAGGAGGGACATCAAAAGCTCAGTAATGACAACCACAGAGCCTTGAGTTAACGTGGTTACTGCTCAAGGCGTGATAAGGTGACACCGGCCCCGTCTTTGTAACTTTGATCAGCACTTAACTTTGATCTTTGCCCTTCAGATGGAGTGTGCCCATCAGTGTCAAATCCTTTAGAAGTTTACCTCATACCCACACCACCTGAAAATATAACTTTTGAAGACCCGTCATTAGATGTGATTCTTCTTTTAAGAGTTTTACATGCCGTCAGTCGATACTGGTATTACTTGTATGATGTGAGTAACGGTGCCTGCTTATGAAGTTCTTTGTGATGTGTTTTCATGACATGTTCTAGCTAGTCTATCTCTGCCTCTCTGCCTAGTGATTAATGAATTCCTGTTGTGCTAGAAATAGAAAAATGATTCAGCTAAATGCAGGGATCCAGTAAACAGTACAGGAACCCCAGTAGTGGGAACCCCACTTATTCCTGTCAGACTTGTAAAATGCTCTCTAGCTATAAGTTTACTGAGTTCAGCCATCCCATGAAAATCAAGCCTGTGTTTCTTCAGGTACCTCTAACCCAATGTCCACTTACCTACGTTAAGATGTATGTTGCTAGCAAGTTGGGTGGAGTGGGCAACGCTGCCTTTGATGTCTGCACAAAGAAGGAGCATGAAGAACTTGGTGTAGTGTGATGCATCCGCGGCCACACTAGTGAATGAGGGCAGGGCAGTGGTCACAGAAGAGGCGGGGGTGGGTGTCATCCCTGCCTTGTGAAAGCTGTATTCGGACTGCGGCTTACAAGGAGAGCCAGTCACCTGTATGTTGGAAATCAGCTGGTGAAATGTGGGCTGTGGGGATGAAGGGAGAGGCAGGGGACACAAGTCTACTGTTTGACGACATGTGGCCTTTTTTTTTCCCCCCCTTTAATGATTTACAGAATGCAATGTGCAAGGAGATTATTCCAACTAGTGAATTTATTAACAGTAAGTTGACAGCAAAAGCAAATAGGCAGCTTCAAGATCCTTTAGTAATCATGACAGGAAACATCCCGACGTGGCTGACTGAACTAGGAAAGACCTGGTAAGATGAAGACTTGCATGCTAGTGGCTGGAGAGTGGTCCCATTGTTTTGGCCTTTATGCATCTTGCTGCAGAAACACAGTCTTTCTGAACCTGTCTTAAGCACAGCTGGCTTCGTAGGGCAGCTCTGGCAGCCACCAGACAGGCAGCAGGGCTGCGTGAGACCTGCTCGCAGCCTGTGGCCACACCAGGAGTAGAAGTGAAGGGGCGAAGGACTGTCCTCCGCTGCCTTAAGAGTGGGCTCCAGAAGTGTGGTTGGTTGATTCTCTGAGCCTGTTTGGTGCAGGTGGAGGTTCTCAGAGTTGCAGAGATCACAGCAGCCACTGGCCACGGGCTCTCAGGGCATTTACAGTTGAATAAAACTAGAAATTGAGTTTTTTTAATCATGTCCTCACCTGGCCACCTGTATTGGGCGGAACAGATACCGAACACTTAAGATCAGCACAGAAAGTGCCTTTGGCAGCTCTGGGCCAGCTACCAAAGTAAGTCATAACATTGGAAGACAACGGAATTTATTCGCTGCAGGACTTGGTCTTCGGCACGCAGCAGCTTCCTATGGCAGTAGAAGGGACAGGGACGCCAGTGCTGGGCGGCGAGCCAGGAGCTGTGAGGCCAGTGCCCTGGGGGTGGGCGGCACGCAGTGGCGGCCAGGGGTGAAGGCAGCCTTGGTGCCGTCCTGTTTCCTAAAGAGCCCTGGGGTACATGAAAGGCGGCCTGGGGTAGACTTGAACTCGGGCGGGATTCTAATGGTTGGGTTTTCGATTTCTAGTGAAAGGCTGTTTAAAGCACTATTTGATCACATAGAAACTTCATGTAAGAATTATGAAAATTCTTCACAATCAGCTTGCCTAGGTCATTTTTATTTGTTACATTCATAATTTTTACTTTGCAGCATATTAAAAGTTGTTTCTGATACAGGGTTGTTTTTGTTTTAATGGTTTCTAATTCAGATAATAAATTTCTGTCACATCTTTTTACAGCCCATTTTTCTTCCCTTTTGATACCCGGCAAATGCTTTTTTATGTAACTGCATTTGATCGGGACCGAGCAATGCAAAGATTACTTGATACCAACCCAGAAATCAACCAGTCTGATTCTCAAGATAGCAGAGTTGCACCTAGATTGGATAGAAAAAAAGTAAGTCCTCTCCCCCCCCCCCATATTTAAAGATATGCATCAAACAGATTTTCAAAACAATGGGAAAACTGTAAACCTGGCACACTTGGGGTGTCTCTTTGCTTGGAGGCCTGTCTCCCCAGCCGTCTCTTTGCTCATCTTTTTTTATCATCTGTGTTAGCAGTAGTCTGCTGTCTGCTGGGTCTGGGCTGTCTGTGATTCTCCTGTATCCTCTCAGGAAGACTTTTCCCCCAATTTCTGAAATTGCTTGAAGTCTTTTTTCTCTTTTAGTTGCCATATTTATGTGTCAAGGAAGAATCTTGTCTTCTCCCACAGAAACTTCAGAACTCAAAACTACAGCCTCCCATTCATAATTGCTCCCTTATGTAGTAGGCAGAGTCAGTCAGACACACTTCAGTCCCGTAGCAGACTTCTCCGGTTAGAAGCCAGCGGACACGTGTGAGGTGTCCCGCATCATCTCGTGAGCAGCCACCCGGCATTGCTGACTCCGTCTTTCTGTGCTGCTGATCTTGGCGCCACAAAACAGCTCTTAAACCACACGGCCCCGAGCCATTTCCATCTGCGACCTAGGCCTCACGACTGACTGAGTCGCACTGCCTTTCACTTACTGGTTCTGTTCATTGGCTTCTTTCTTGCTGAGGATTCTTAATCAAAGCTGTTCCAATAAAACCCTTTCTCTCAGAAGTCTCCTAGGAGCCATTAGTAATGAAATCAAGAGGGAGGGAAGAAGTTGAGAAGCAAAACAGAAATCGTCGTGCTCTTTATTATTCGATCTTTATATTACTCTACCAACATCCCTATTTATAGAATTAGAATCGGGACATCAGGTGGGGCTTTTCTCATCTCCTTGAACCTCATTAGTATACATGCAGTCCAAGCAGGGATCCCACTCACCTGTCTCACATCACCCCCAACACCTGTTTCTCCATCATCTAACTTCACGTGTCCAGGGAGATTTCATGGCGTTTCAGCCTAAATTGCATTGAATTTGGCAAGGTTGCAGAGTACCTTTCTTCCCCAGCTGGGTCTCTGGGCTTGCCGTGGGTTCAAGACAGTTAACTCTCACCTCGCATGCTTCAGGGTTGTCAGGTGCCACTGGTGTTTGAGGCAGCACTGCTACCTCTTAACCTTGACCGAGGCGCCTTTGAAATAGCTAATGGTAGAACTGAGTGTTCCGAGCCTCGGGACACACCCCTGCTAGCGTGTCCCTTGAGCACAGCGTCCTCACGTTTGTACTTTCCTTTGTAGCGCACTGTGAACAGAGAGGAGCTGCTGAAACAAGCTGAGTCTGTGATGCAGGATCTTGGCAGTTCACGGGCCATGTTAGAAATCCAGTACGAAAATGAGGTGAGCTTATGAGTCTGCCTGTGGTTTGAGCTTGATAAAATGTTGCGAGAATTTTTTGGTCCTTTGAAGTTCTGAAACATATATGAGAAATTTGTCTAAAACCTTGAGATTTGTTCCAGTTTTTCTGTTGAATGATTGGTCTAAGTTAAGACTCAGTTTTATAACAAAAATGTTTTCCCCTCTCCCCCATGAGGGGAGATATTTGTATGATCTTTAAATTGATAAAGTGAAAGAATGCTTTATAGATAACTTTCCAAATGTCCAAATGGTTTTTTTAAAAGTCATCTTTACTGAAATAAAGGTTATATATAACACCTCAAGATCGACACTTGTAAGAGTGGTCAGTGTTATAGTCTGATCACCTCCGCATCAGGAGAAAGCACTGTCTGTGCGCCGCAGGGGCCTTTCAGACCAGGTGACAGTCTCCTCCCCACCCGCATTCCTGGCGCCATCTTCTGTTTCCTGCTGCTGTCATTTTGTCTTGTGCAGTAGTACAGTGAATGGAATTGCACAGTATGTAACCACTTGTGTTAGTTTTTCACTTGGTGCAATGCTTTTGGGGTGGATAGCGTTGTTCCACTTACTAGTTTCCTTTCACTGTTGAGTAATATTCCGTATAGCAGTGTGTCGTGATGTTTAGCTGGTCTCCAGTTGATGCACTTTTGATTTTCTTCCAGTTTTGACCCAAGATAAACATCTGTGTGCCAGTTGGCGTAAACATAGGTTTTAACTTCTTTTACACTTTAGGGTTGGATTTCTAAGTCATTTGGAAAGATAGATTTTAGCTCTGTAATAAATGCCAAATTATTTTCCAGAATAAGGTGTCCTGATGTGTTAATCCCACCAGTAATTAGTATGTAATTTTCAGTTTCTTTACACATTCAACCTTGGTTATTGTCAAGCCTTTAGTGGGCTCTTACTATTAACCTTGCTGTGAGCTTATCCCACATGGGTTGATAAGCTTTCATAGGCTTTGAGACATTTAATTTTTAATTTACATCTGTCTGATGATACGATGTTGTCTTTGTTGCTTGTGAGCCTGGCATTTATCTTCTTCAGAGAAGTCTCTGGGCATGCTGTCCACCTTTTTATTGGGTTTTTGTTTTATCATTGGCGTTGGTAAAGCCTAGATACAAGTCCTAAATTCATGAGCTAAATGTTTTGCAAATATTTCCTTCCAATCTATGACCCATCTTTTTATTAGGGATGTCTTTGGAAGAGTAGAAATACTGAATTTTGATGAAATCAGGTTTTCATCAACTTTTTTTTCTTTATATATGCGTGTAGCCTGGGGTATTCCCCCTGACCCCTGGTCTCCAAAGTTTTCTCCTATGCATTTTTTTTCTAGAACTTTTTTAGTTTTTATGCCTGACTTTTCTTTGGAGTTAAGTCTTACATAAAATTAGGATTAAGCTTCTTTTTTTCTGTTCAGTGACCGTACCCCCTGTTGCGTGCCCTGGACAGCCTTGGTGACGACCAGTAGACCCCACGTAGTGGCGTCGGCTCGTGTGCTCTTTTCGCTGGTCGGCGCTGCCCTCGCCGCGTGGCCTGGTGCTGCATTTCCGTCAGGAGAGGGAGCCCTCTGGCTGGCTGTCTTGCCCAGAGTGGTTGTGGTTATTCTCGATCCCTTTAACTTCAAGTAAATTCTAGAATTGGCTTGTTAATACCCAGAAAAGTCACCCTGGAGGAGGAGTGGGCTGTGTCCGCTGGAGGAGTCGACACTGGCGAGTCTCTTGGCGGTGTGGCCTCCCCTGCCTACGCCTCAGCGTTGCTCAGTGGTGCTTCCCGACTCAAGCCTAGAAGTCTTTCCTGTACAAATTCCATCTCCTCTCCAAATAGTTCATGTTTTTTGATGGGTCTGAAAATGAACACTGTTCATTTGTGTCAATTTCTAATGAAGCTGGTTTATAGAAAGACCGCTGACTTTTTAACATTGACCCTTTGTCTTCGTGAACTTGATTATTCTAACAGTTTCTGTAAGTTTAATAGGTTGTCAGGTTATTGTAGATCTGGCCTGGGAAAACTCTGTGAAGAGTGGAGTGGAGACAGTTTCTGGCTCTGTGGACCACGCCTGCCTCGTCGCCGCTGCCCGTCACCGCTACGTGGCCTAGCCGCCCCGTGGCCGTGGGCAGGCATGGCAGCCCCACAGACCTTGACTAGAGGCCCCAAAATTAGTCGCCTTTCTCACATTGTACACCATTTGAACCATTATATGTTTGTAAAAAGCATTTTTAGCTGCAGGACCATACACCAAAAGAGTCAAATATTTTCTCTGTATTTCACTACTAAAGTATTGAGTCCCTTAGGAGGGTTTTCTTCCCTTGTCCCATATTTTAAAAGGCAAAATAGAGTTTGGATTGGATTTATGATCCTATGGACTCAACATCTCCTGACTTATCATTATACTGACTAAAATAGTCAGCTATTCAGCCCCTCGGGATTTTATCTTTAAAACATGGGTTTTTCAGTAGAACCTCAGGGTTGAGTGTGCAGGCTCAGATCAGTGCGTGGCTCGTGCTAAGTGCTGCGATATCCTGTGGTTTTTAGTCATGACTGTCTTCATTTACTACTTTCTTCATCAAGACCTGTGAAAAGCTCGTTTAAGAGTAGTATTGCTGTATCAAAATTAGCATTTCAAGTCGTTACTTCCTAGCAACTGTCCCTGCTGTAGTTCCAGGTTATGGCAAAATTCCTGCAAAGAAAACACAAGGAGGAGATCTAGACCAGCGCACGTGCAGGAGAGTGTGGCCGAGGGGTGTGGGGACATGTGCATAGGCTTTCAGACAAGCAGCCGGTCGGGGCTGTGGGCGTGTCACGGGGCCCAGAGTTAGGCTCTAGTGGAGGAAGAGATCTAAGGAACCATCTTCCATTAGGTTTGACTCAAGGGGTCAGCTTGGTGGGAAATGATGGAATTGAGGAACTGCTCAGGAGTGCGGGGGGAGGAGCGCTGACTGGGGGGCTAGACTGCGTGGAGCCTGGGTGCTGGGATGAGAAACTTAAGGCCTCTTTTGAATCCACCGTGATTATTCCTGCGGCTGCTTTCTAATCCAGGGGCCGAATTCATTGGAGAAGGGGCTGGGAAAGAGGCCTTGAACCCGTAGGGGCTCAGTTTGGGAATAAAATTTAACCCAACAGCTCAGCTAGTGGCCAGTAGGAAAGAGCGTCACATCTGGAAAAAATCCTAATTCAAAACGTCGTAATGGGCTCCATTGTGAAGTGAGATGCTTGGGACAGTTGGTGAGCCAGGGAAGAATTAAGTCAGTATTTGGGCTCAGAAAATCACGCAACCCTGAAGGATTGGCTGTGGCCGACCCAGTCTCCGGGCGGGACAGCTGGGCGCCCGGGCTGGACAGTCCAACACCACCACTTGGTCGTAGCTCCTTGGTGCCCTCACCAGCCCTGCACAAGGCATGCACCTAACCTCATCTTGTTGTCAGGATACTTAGGACATGGGCTGTCATGTAATAGATCCTAGTTTACACTAGCTTTTCAAAAACTTCCAAAGTATTAAGTTGTCACATGTTTGTTTTTCCATGATTTTGTCTATACGGTTTTATGCTCTGCTTCATATTCTAAGAGAAATGACGCAACACCAAAATACCTAGCCTCTTCGTGCAGTAGCTTGGTAGGACAAAGGTCCCTACAAAGATCAGATTGAGCTAAAGCTGCTGGCCAGCCTGAGGGGGGGGGATTGCCAGAGCTGCTGTGACCTGGTTCTTCCACCTTGACAGGCGCACGGTGTAAACAGCAGTAACCGTGTCACTTGAGATTTTGAGTTAAGTCTGTTTTATTTTCAGAAGTAACAGTATTTTGATGGAGGAAATAGACTGATCTGATCTGTGAGTTGTCTTTAGCCTGAGATGATTGTGCTAAAGGGAATAGGAATTACCTGACTTTAGAGCACCATCTGGTGGCTATCAGATGTCACTGCAGGTTTGTTTTCTGTCTAGGCTGCTCTGGCCCCTCCCTCCCACTTTAGCGCCTCAAGATTCCCTGGAGAACAAAATACAGTCACTGCCATCGTGGATCTTTTCTTCTCTCTCTCTTTTTTCTTTTTCCTCTTTTGGAGAGGCTGGCACATGCACATGTTGGTACTAGGCCATGAAGACAACAAAGGAAAGTAGGAAGATTAGGATGGGGGTGCAGTGGTCTGAGGTGAATCTTAGGCAGAAGCAATTTGTTGCTTTCTCAGGAGAGAGGGTCTCCAACAAAAGGACAGAGAAAAGCCAGAACGCTGAGACAAGCTTCCTGCCCATTTTGCAGGAGGACTGTGGCCAGGAGCAGTAGCCAGTGAGCCGGGGGGACAAGTAGGCTGAGAACTCCAGCTTTGCGGGGCACAGAAAAATCTTACGAGTGTATGTTTCATAAAACCACGCTTGGCACTGTGAAAACAGGCTAGGAAATGCTAGGACAGACGGTTCTGGAGGCTCTTGCAGTGGGGGAGCTAAGAGATGAGAGTGAGCCGTCTGGAATGAGCTTTGAAGGTGGGGTTATGGTGTTTACTGGTGGGTGGGTTTGTGGGGAGTCAGAAGGAGGAGAACCCTGGGTGGTTTTGGTTGGAGCATTCCACTCCGGTGATATCTGCACCCCACCCCCCCCACCCCTGCAGGAAGCAGGGGCTGCACCAGGAAAGCATCACACGGCTCAAGCACGTCATCATTTAAAGTCAGAGTTCAGCATTTGGTGGATTTGTAACCTTTTAAGCTAGTGTGGATATTTTTGAAATGTGACTTTGGTAACTGTAAAGAAGTGTTGGTTATTTGCAAAATCTGTTAAGTGCGATGTAAGCTTCTTGATAAGACTGTGATTAGACTTAACCTGGAATGAGGGCCTGGACCTGCCATTGTTAGCTGCATGGCTCATTGCGCTCCCAGCTGGTGGTGCCTTGCGAGAGCGTGAAGGAGCAACAGGCTCTGATGCTGCCCGGGACCGTGTGTCTCGTGGGGGCCTCTTTAGTCAAGGCTTGCAGTCACCTTTGGGACGTATTTAAAAATTCCAGTGCCCAGGCTCCAGCTCATGCCTACCAAGTGAGAGTCCTCAGGGCATGTTACCCTCCTCCATCCCACTCTCCCCCCTCAATGTGTGCACACTGATAGCTCGGACCGTCCAGTGTTCCTGAGCGCTGGCACGAATTCAAAGCTTGCCTTGCTGGTTCTTTATTCAGCAAAGCTCTGTCAAGTGGCTGGTGTGTGCCTGAGGCACTGCAGAGGCTACAGAGGTGAATTCTAGATCCCTCCAGTGAGATATACAAGCATAGAATGGAATCTTGGCTGTGCTAGGTGATAACTACTTAAGTAGCCGAAAGCTAAGTCCGGAGAGGAGGAACAAAGAAACTGGGCAGATAAGGCAGCCCAGGAGGTAATGTCGAGCTGGCTTCAAGCAGGAGTCTTAGGCAGCCGGGGTCACCTTGTACCTGAGGGTCAGGCATATAGCTGCCACAGGCCCCTCCTCAGTAAATGGTGGGCAAGAAATTTATAAAGGCCCTCCAGGTAGCCACGACTAGAGGATGCGATCAGGACAGGTTGGAAAATAATCTGTACACGTCCTTACAAGCAGTTGCTCTTAGTGTCTTCATAACCAAGAGATTGTTAAGAAAAGCACCACAGATTCTAACATTTGAAGTCCTTCTTTTGTCCTTCCTTAGGTTGGTACAGGTCTTGGACCTACGCTGGAGTTTTATGCACTCGTATCTCAGGAACTCCAGAGGGCTGACTTGGGTCTCTGGAGAGGTGAAGAAGTGACTCTTAGCAACCCAAAAGGTAACATCATCCTGTGAGACAGGCGATCAGCATGTGTCACTCAGATTGTGTAACAGCTAGACAGTTCTCTCACTTCTGCTAAAGGGCCATGCTGTCTGACCTGAATTTCTTTTTCCTTTTGTTTTCTTATTTATCCAATGAGAGAGCCCCGTGGAGCTCTCTCAGTGATCTGCTATCGAACTTTGAGGATACTGAGTTTCTTAGGCCGGTTTGCCTTGCTTTGGGCTAGCCTCTAAAGTTCAGTGACTTGCTGGTTTTACAGGGAGTCAAGAAGGGACCAAGTACATTCAGAACCTCCAGGGCCTGTTCGCACTACCCTTTGGTCGGACAGCCAAGCCAGCCCATATTGCAAAGGTTAAGATGAAGTTTCGCTTCCTAGGAAAATTAATGGCCAAGGCGATCATGGATTTCAGACTGGTAAGTTGGGATTACTGACTTTGCCACTGTTATTTTGTACCTTTGTCTTACTCAGTGCTCTGTGTGACAGCGGTGCTTCATGCACTTCAGGATGCCCGCGAAATGCTGGGGTGCTGTTTGACAGGGCAGTTCTGATTCAGTAGTTCATGGGAGGTTCGGCAGAGAACATTTCACGGGGACTCCAGGCGGTGCCCCAGAGCCAGCCTGCAAGCCGCTGCTTTTGTTGCAAGAGCTCAGAGAATCAGGCAGCATTATGGTGGCTTTTAACCATGTGTTTTTTTAAAGTGTTTGCTAATCCCCTATAGGATAACTCCGGGGAGGTGCTTATCCAAGACTTTTGTGTTCAGAGAGATCAGTATTTTTGGACTTTGTTTCCTTCTCGCTTTTTCTGAGCTGTTTTTCTCAGTTTGTGAGTTTTACAGAGGGAAATTCCTCACAGTTGAAAAATCATTTGCTGCTGAAAAGGGGTTCTTAATCCGTTATTTTAGAAATTCGTTTTTCTATGGTAAATAGAATGACTTGGCCCTTTTGCTTTCCAATATTCACGGTACAGACTACTACACAATTGAACTTACTAAAAAGAGGATTCTGCTAAACATCTTTGGGTATTGAGGCCCTGGAGATGATGTAAGGCCACCACTGCAAAAAATTCCTGTGGAATGGCAATGTTTCCAATAGGATTCTTCACTTCTCTGAATTATGTACAATATCAAGGCCCCAAATTGAGTTGAGATTTAGGCATTTTCCTCTAATGGGACAGCTCCTAAATTGGCTGCCCACCCCGGCCCACAATTGCCACCTTTCTTAGTAACCCGCTGAGTGTCGGGCTCGGAGAGGAGGCAGCTCCAGAAGCCGGCGCCCATCAGGAGCTCTGCTCGTTCCCTGCAGGTGGACCTGCCCCTCGGCCTGCCCTTCTACAAGTGGATGCTGCGGCAGGAGACCTCGCTGACATCGCATGATCTCTTTGACATCGACCCGGTTGTAGCTAGATCAGTGTATCACCTTGAAGACATTGTCAGACAGAAGAAAAGACTTGAACAAGATAAATCCCAGGTAGGCCTAGAAGAGGAGGAAAGGGTCACGTGGAGCAGCTCCTTGGAGAAACACCAGGTCTTTGTCGAGTGGTCTGTATTTGACCCTGTTACTCGGGTGTTTTCTTTTGCAGGCATCTTGTTTTCTTAATTACAGTAAGTTGCAGATGATGCCACGGTGGGTAAACTGATCTGGACTAACGGGTGGTGAATAAACCTGATTAGCAAGTAGAATTCATGCCTGACCAAAGCCGCAGGGCCTTGCTGTTAAAATTTGGATTACATAGATGGATTATATAATGGTCTTATTCTGTATCACACTGAGTTCTTTAGAAAGCACTTGAATCAATAAAACTGTGCTCAAGACAGATTGATTTTTCCAGAAAGTTGTTCTGATTTGGGAGGTTCGTTTCTGAGCAGTGGCAGGATCGTTTTAAAGCTCCTGGTGGGTGTTCGCCCCTTGGCACCTTATTGAGGCCGCTCTGTTCCATCCCAGGGGAGAGCTTAATTTTTATTTCATTAATGCCTATTTAACTTAGTCTGAGATTAATACTGTGTCTGTATCTGACATTAGAAGACAAAGTTGTGTTTTACGAAGTGGCAGGCAGTGTCATGTACTTGGGCAGGTAACATGGACTAGTGTTCACATAGTCAGTCCCCTTACAAATGATGTAGAAGAAGAAGAGAGTGGGGTTGGATCTGTACTGAAAGAAAGAGCCAGCTCCTTGGTGGAGGGGCTCAGAGTAGTTATTTTGGGGGTGAGGGAGTTAGATAACGCCTCATTATCGAGGTGGTAACTTAGAAGGGAACTCATTTTATCTTTATTCATTGGCAGGTTTTTGAGAAATAATTTTAGCATTAAGAGAAACTATTGTTTAAATTGATCGACTTCATGTTTTCTAAACAAGACAAACAGGTTGTAGGATTTTTTTTTTTTTTAAGATTTATTTTTGTGTGTGTGCATACAGAACTGGGGTACAGGCCAGAGGCTCAGGGGCGGTGAGAGGCTTCACCAGAGACAGAGCGGGGAGCAGAACAGGCAGATCCACGAAGTACACTGCTGAGGGAGCAGCGGGCGGGTCAGGAGAGGTCTGCGTGCCATGGGGTCACCTCCCGGGCAGGCGGGGATCGAACTCATGCGGAAGCGGCTTTAGATTCTCAGTGCTGTGCTTTAACCCACTGCGCCACCAGGGAGGGCCAGGATTTTAAAGAACGAATTAGGTTTATGCTTATCAGTTTTATAAAATAGAAGGAAAAAGAGCTATCCTCTTACGTAGGATTGTCTCCGAGGTAAATGATGCACACACATGCTTGCTGTGTGTCTGTTCCACCTCCTGGTGAGCTTAAGTTTCATTTTATTACATCCAAAATTTTATTACATGCACCCAAAGGTAAATCCAAAAGAAAGGAAAGGATGGAAAACACGCGGCACTCCGCCAGGTGCGTCCCTGGAATGATTTCCTTAATTCCCAGGACCCCTGTTGAGATTTGAGCACTCGTGTTACCTGCACTTCACAGGGGAGACACTCCAGGCAGCAGGCCAGCTAGGACTGCAGCCTCAGTGGGTCCTGCTGCGCCCTGTTCCTGGGCTGGTGCCCCACAGCTCTCGCCCTCACGCCTCTTCCTTCCTGATTTAAAGCTACCACGTGCACAGCCCATAATCTTGCCTCCAGAGCTGAGGTCTGTGTCACACACCTGCCGCCCAGAGCGTGAGGAAGGGTTCCTCTGAAGCACCTTGCCCCTTGGTGTAGAATCCTCTAGCAGGTGGAGCGGGTTGTCCTGAGTTCTGCTTGGCAGCTTTGGGTCTCGAAAGATTCCCGAAAAACCCAGTAAAGCCTGGCTTTTGATTTAAAGTGTAAGGTTGAAATAAATAGACACTGAATTCTCTTCCCACATCTCTGGGACACACATGTTCTAGATTCATGTCAAAAATAGCATCTTGTAGTTCAGAACCCTTTACAGTTCGGGGACGAATTAAGTAGCCATCGGCATAGCAGGATCACCTACCTTCATCTGTCACAGGAGGTGGGGGGACAGTCTTGGGCAACAGCTTCAGGAGCTTCTCAGAGAGAGGCATCAAAATGGGAAACTTTTTAATGTGATTTTCTGCAGGAGAAAACCTCAGTTGTGAGATGCAAAGCCTCCCTTTGGGGGTTCTTTATCTGAGGATGCCGCCACCCCCTGTATTTTGCATTACCTGGGACCCTAAGTGGCGCTCAGTCTCTAAAAATGGCTTTTTGTTACCAAGAGTGCTGATCCTTGTCTTGTGTAAATGGCTTTTTCTGCACTTCGTTTAGCTACTAGAATTTCACACTGGAGGCAGCTCCGGTTCAGTTCGGAAAGCCACTTACCTACCTGATGGCTACCTTTATTTGCAGATAGAATTTGCAGTTGTGCATATTCATCTTTGATCCTTTTCCTAAAAGAAATAGTCATTTATGTAAGCCTCTCTTAATGTTGGGCATTTTGAAAAAGTGAGTAATACAAGCTTGAACATTTTTTCTTTAGATTTGACTTACCTTTACTTGGGGCTTTTTGTTGAGACAAATTTCATTGCAATAGTGGGAATATAAATGTTCTCAGCTTGGGGAGGCTGAAGTGGTAGAATGAGGACTCTCCGGACTGTTCTTTAGACTTGAGAAAACAGCTACAGACCTGCTGAGATCTGACTTGCAGACATTGGGCTGAGTTGCAATCCTCACGTGACCTTGCCCCACAGGAAAAGGTAGTTGGGGTCTGAGGCATTTGAGATGATTTCTTTTTTGACCTCAGAACTTACTCAGTTGTAGATTCCGATCAAAAAAAAGTATGCCGAGCCCTAACAGAGGAGCCATAACATTCATAGGATACTTCTATAAATAGATAAACAGGACTGTGTTTCTGTGTTTCTCCTGCTGCCTGTTTTCTTTCAGACCAAAGAGAGTCTGCAGTACGCACTGGAGACGCTGACGATGAACGGCTGCTCTGTGGAAGATCTGGGGCTGGATTTTACTCTGCCGGGGTTTCCCAACATCGAGCTGAAGAAAGGAGGGAAGGACATACCGGTCACAATCCACAACCTGGAGGAGTACTTGAGAGTATGTGGCCGTGGCGTCTGCTGCACTGTGCCAGCAGGGGCTGGCCCATCAGGGCCCGGGCATTGCCCTGTCTGCAGATGGGGGTGCTGGCCGCTCAGGCTCTGCTCAGGAGGGGACATGTCAGACGCTCTGTGCGGCCCCCTGTGCCCTGGAATTCACTGTCTCAGGCTGGACCCCTTGAATGTCATCTCCATCATCTGCCGTCTCGAGCTAATCGTCTCACGACCCCTTGGAGATGGGGAGGCTTTGAAGTTAATTTAATTTGCGGCCCTTAGCTGTAGTTGCTGAATACACATCGTATTTCAAGTTACAACCTGTATAGAGCTCTCGTCCTAGTCTTGAAAGTTTCTTCTGGTTTCCTCCTGACAGGAAGTGGAAGGAGCATTGGGCCCAGGGGTGACGGCGTGCCGAGACTTGGCTTTTCTCTTAGAGTCTCAGGAACATCTTGGTTCCTTCATCAGCAGGAGGCAGCCTGGCCACCCCTGCTGCCGTGCTGGTCACGGAGCTGCTCTTTGGGCTTGTGCTGCGCGCAAGCATCTCCGCCAGGGTCTCTGAACAAAATCTCTAGCAGTGCTTGTGTTCCTCAGTAGAACAGCAGTGTTTTCTTTTTTTAATCTGAATGTGGTCTCTGTTTCTGAACCTGCTGTGCTAATGGAAGTCAGTGGTGACCCGTCAATAAGGCCAGTGGGGTGCTGTTAGCCTTCGACTCCACGGCCAGCCTTTCCAAAGCGAGTCTTTTCTGAGAGACACGCACACTGCAAAAGGTTTGGGCTGTCAGGATTTTGGATATAGAACTAAAAAGTTCACATGAAAATTTAAACCCACTAACAGCTGGCAATTGTGAATCTTGTCATGTTTTTTAATTTTCAGTGGCACTTTATCGGCAGAAAATTCCCACTGCTCGAGGGATCTTGCTTAAATGATCTTTTACAACATACTTCTAATTTGACTAGTCCCCTATTTAGTCGTTCAAATGATTGTTCTTTACTTACAGTTTTCTGAGATGTTTTTAAAACTAACTTAAAAAAGTTACCAGATTGTTTTCACTGGGCTTTGCCACATGCTAAATAGAAGTAAATTGGAAATCTTGTCACAACGTAAAAAAGTCTCCCCCCCCCCTTTTTTTTTTTTTTTTGCAGCTGGTTATATTCTGGGCACTAAACGAAGGCGTTTCCAGGCAATTTGATTCATTCAGAGATGGTTTTGAATCAGTCTTTCCACTCAGTCATCTTCAGTACTTCTATCCGGAAGAAGTGAGTATCTGTGTGTAAGGGAACGGTCTCATTTCCAGTGTCTGCAGTTGTCTTTGCGAGGGATCCCTGTGCTGGCTAGTTAGAAACCGCATTGTTTTTAAAAACAACAAAACAAAACAACAAGCGTAAGGAGCAGAGGGTGGGAGTGTGGGAAAGACAGGGTCGCTTCCTGAGCGGGGTGGAATTAATTGTACCCCTTAGAGGGGGCGTGTGTGAAGGCGAGCAGTGTCTGTCAGCTCACCCCTTGGCTGCTGCTCTGGAAAGGGCTCCAGTTTCCAAACCTGTGGCTGGTAGGGAGCGCCGAGACCCTGATGGCAACAGGAGGAGGTTGCGGATGGCATGTTTGGTGATCGAGTGGTCTTCGAGGTAGAAGGAAGTGTTGGGGGCACTCAGAGAATTCCTGAAAGAGGGGAAACATGTTTTTTGTGAATGACATTCTTCAGTCATCTTAATTTGAAGTGTGACAACTCAAGACCTGCTTCCTGCTGGGAGGTGTTGGGTTCCACCAGTTTGGAAACATTTCTGTTGGTGTTTGAATACTACATTCCATAGTGGTGAATCTGGAGCTCTTAATGACTTGGATTTAATCTCAACTATTACTTCTATGTCCAGTTTGATTTCCTACTTACTGAAGCAAGTGGTGTACCTGGCACTTTCAGGTAGTTACCTGGAATTAAAATACTAAGTCTTGTTCAGGGAGTGAATTCTGACGCCCACTGCTGAGCTGCGTGACCATATCAGGTTCCTCTTGACCTGATCTGACTCTTCTGGGAGAAAACTGGGGTAACTGGCAGTGCACAGTCATCCTGCTCCCGGACAGTCAGCCAGAGCACAGGTGTTTTCATTGACTCTGGTGTTTGGTTTTTTAAGCGCTTCTTGCCTTTGCGCACTTGCACCGCCACGGCTAGGGGCCTCCCGCCCCCAGCTTATGGGACTGGGGTGCGCCACCTCGCCAAGTGCGAGCCCTCCGGCTCAGCTCCTTCTCGTCACTCTGTTCCGTCACGTGGCTTCTGTTACTGTGTACCTTGGTGTTTCCAAAGGTGAGGGCTCACAACATATCCCTAAGTAGATGATCAAGGTGACGCTTGTGAAGAAGTGAGGAGAGTTGGGGAGCGTCAGTCAGGGATGCTCTGGGGAAGTAAAGGCCCCCTGGAGCCTGGCGCTGAGGGGACGGCTGTTGGCGCGCAGCCGAAGGGGAGAGCGGCTGTGCCGTCTCCGGCTCTGTGGCGTTCCTGCTTTGCCACGGTGGAGACCGGCCATGATCGCACTGTCTGCGTTTCCCTCTGTTGTGTTTGTCTCTAACCCATGCGGCCTCCTTTAAACCCAGCTGGACCAGCTGCTGTGCGGCAGTAAGGCGGACGCCTGGGACGCGAAGACGCTGATGGAGTGCTGCAGGCCCGACCACGGCTACACCCACGACAGGTCGGCGCCGGCCCGGCCGGCTTCCCCTCCTTAGTCAGAATCGTGTGGTGTGGGGCCCAGACCCCGGGGGGGGGGAGGCCGTCTTCAGTTAGCCTGCCTCTACTAAAGGAAGCTTTTTGTTCTGTATTTGAGCCATATTTCTCTCAGTACGGCAATTTAGGGCCCAGATTGTTCTTTTCTAAGTTTTTCTGTGAAAAGGTTTAAGAAGTGGGGAGGAGGAACGGGCCTCGCCCAACACCCACTCCTGTCTGTCCTGTCTGCCACAGCAGGGACCCCCCAGCCCCGCTGCCACACAGGCTTGGGCCCGAGGGCACTCTGATGTGGATTCCCCGAGCCCCCGCCAGCTCCCACCGTGGGGTGACCGTGGAGAGCCACGCCTGCGAGTCAGAACTGTATTTTATGACGATGAAGTGATTGTGCTGTTTGTTTCTGTTGTAGTCGGGCTGTGAAGTTCTTGTTTGAGATTCTCAGTGGCTTTGATAACGAGCAGCAGAGGTTATTTCTCCAGTTTGTGACAGGTAGCCCAAGATTGCCTGTTGGAGGTAGGTACAAGGGGCCGCTAGGTCCTTCTGGCGGCGGGTGCATGTGCTGGGTGCGTGCGGCGAAGCCCTGGCTCAGCCGGGTGCTCTGTTTGTCTTAACAGTCCTCTCGGGCGTTCTGGCTTAATGCTGTCAAGTTTATTGTCTTGCAGTAAATGAAGAGATAGCACTGGCGGGTGAAGTTATAGGACTTAGGCATGTTGAAGTAAGATTATTACTGCACATGAATCCTGCTTCTCTGGATAAAATTCACATTCTTGGGTGTTTATAGACTCTTAGTTGGAAGAGCACCCAGACCCAGCTTTCAGGAAGGACTTGTGCTAGGAAGCGAATGGGGCTCCACGTGAGCAGTCAGAAGGCCCCGAGTCCTCTTGGTCTCCACGTTTGCAGTGATTTTTCCTGGGAAAGAGAGCAGACGCCAGGCTTCTCACCAGAGCTACCCCCAGGGCGTGTGGGTTGAGTTGCCTCTGACGCGGGGCAAGCAGAGCAGTAGCTTCTGGCCGCGGGCCATGGCCACGGAGGTCCTGGCCCACCCGGCTCTGCTCCCCTCTGTGGCCAGGCGCTCTGTGAGCTCACGAAGGCCTTTGGTCTCTCTTCTCCCTCCTCATCAGGCTTCCGGAGTTTGAATCCACCTTTGACAATTGTCCGGAAGACATTCGAATCGACAGAAAACCCAGACGACTTCCTGCCCTCTGTAATGACTTGTGTAAACTATCTCAAGTTGCCGGACTACTCGAGCATTGAGATCATGCGCGAGAAGCTGCTGGTGGCCGCGCGCGAGGGGCAGCAATCCTTCCACCTCTCCTGATGACCATGGGAGCGCGGTATCTGCCTGTTACAGCAAGAGAAAAATCACGATTTCTTTTCTAAATGTATCACCTGAGTCAAGGAAACATGTTACACCTTCTTGTTGTAGGAAAAACGGCTTGCAGATTCTAAAGAGACGCTTGGTTGATATTCATTAATGGCCCCATGGACTTAAAGTGATCAGGCCCTAAACCGTTGTTGTGATGAGGTTTCTTTAGCAAGTTCTGTTTAAATTATCATTTATTTGATGAGTGAAGTTTTTAACTTGCTTTGCTGTGTGAAATTTAAAAAGGGATGTTTTTCCAGGCTGAAACAATAAATGTCGCTGTGCAGTTTAATTCTGGGCTGTGTGTATCCATCTAGCTGAGTCTGCAGTCTGTTCCCTCCAGAGACAGCTCTTGTACATAGTTCAGACATTAAAGCTCGCCTGTATTTGACAGACGGTGTAGTGAGCCAGCTCTGTGTCCTCACCGCCCGACTCCCACCAGCTTTGTCTGTGCAGCTCACGCTTCTTGTGTACAGCACTCACGGTTCATCCCCCCCCCCTCGGGCTTTTGTTGTTCCATGTTCTTTCAAATTTAGATATAATTTAAATTTCGTTGAACTGAAATATATTGTCAATATAATTCAGCCTTGTATCTAGATAGACCTTTCCTAGAGCCTAGTTCTGATGGCGCTGTCGGGCGTGACGGGCCTCTTCGGGGACACGAGGGCTGTGGACGTGCCGCGCCCGCGCCCCGAGGGAGCGGGAGGGCTCGCTCCCCCCCTCCGCGCAGGCGCAGCGAGGCCGCTCGGGCCGGCCGCCGCTCCTTGCGCTCTGGCCAGAGCGTTTGAACGGATGTGAAGTCTTCAGTGAGATTTGGTTTCCCTTCCCTGTTGGAGTAAAAGAATTCTTTTCTCCCCGGTCCCTGTTCTAAGTTTTTTGTTCGCGGTCTCCCCCTCCCCCTGCTCCCACGCCGCCCCAGTGCTGGCTTGGGACCGGCCGTCCAGCCGTGTCCCGACAGATAACACGCACCTGTACGCAATGCGCTGTCCAGTTGTTCTATGTGCTGATTTCTCAAATTTGCAATAATCCATCAGGTTCATGTTTTTACCTGAAAATAAATAAAGTTTGCTTCACCTTTTTGTTTACAGTTCTGTGCCGTATGCCTCCCTTTCAGTCGTGTTAGATGTACGTGAGATTTTCACTGCCGGTAAATCACCACGTCTCTGTGATTTGCGTCATGGCTGAATACACTAGTCAGAGAATTTCTAACAGCGACTTGAAGATCCCAAAATGTGGAGAGAATGGGAGGCGAGCCCTCCCTTCTAAGGTGCAAAATGAAGCCTAATTGTATAAATTGAGCATTTCCGTAAATGACAGATGAGCTAATTTGTTCTTACTGAACTTTTGAGAAATCAATTTGTTTCGCTGGCTGTTCCAAAGTCTTAATTGCTGTGAAAGCCCCTCGCTGCCCATTTCAGCAACAGAAAGACTCTGTGGCTTGTTTTCATTTCGATTTCTGTGTCATCCTACACTCAAATGGCCTTACCTGGACGCGTCCCCTCCTCATGGTGAACGTGGACGGTGACCCCCATTAGGTTGATGAGCTGCCAGGGGCCTGGAGCCAATCTCCCAGGCCCGGGCGGAGACTGCCAAGCGCCTGTTCCCCATCAACCCCAGGAGGGAGCCGCCTTCCCGTCGGAGCCCGGCCGCCGAGCAAAGCGGCGACAAGAGGGAGCCAATTTGTTTTCAACTGTGACGATACCGTTTTTACAAACTAAGCACAAAGAATTTTGCCTGGACATAGCAATCTGTTCCTCGTTTTTAAAAGAGGTTCTATTGTTAAAATTAGACAGACGTGTATAAACAAAGTAATGTTTCCTATTAAAAGATCTGTATTTGACTCGATCCGTGTGTGACCTCGGATCTTTGACTTCCGGCCGCTCTGCCTCGTGCGTGTCAGCCTCCAGGGAGGCAGGTGGTGGTGTTGAGTCACACTTGGGCGCAAGTGTTTCAGAGGCATCGGTTGCCAGCTTGAGCTCTGGGTCTTTAACGGACTCTTCTCAGGCCGGGGAGCCTTCCTCAGGGAGGGCCAGGAAGGCTCTTCCCATGTACAGCAATCTCTTGGCAGAGGCCTTAGCCATGCGCTGGAGGGGAAAGTACATACTTCATTTGCTGTTACTCCAGTTACGCCTTAAGTTTACTTGCTTATTCACATAGGTCAGCAAGCATTCCAAGACTGCTCAACACGTAGACAGCTGGGGAGTGACTGAGACCCTGTTGTCCTTTCAGTTTTGCTGAGCTGGAGTCATGTCAGTCACAGCTGATGTCGGTTTTGTGGCGGTATCATTTAATGACAGTTGCTGAGGTGGCTGCTTTCTGTGTGAGAACTTACTTGCAACGATTTCACTCCGAGAAGAAAGAGAGGTAGTTCAGTACAACCCTGTCCTCCCAGCCCCCGGAGATGAACAGCAGTAGGTCATCTGAACGGGAACAGGTGGCGAGGGTTCTGCACGCCCTGGCCAAAGCCAGCGGGAGCCTTCACACCGCTGTGGGCGAGCAGGCTCCGCGGGCCTGTTCTTCAGTTCTGCAGCATGGAGCCTTTCGCCACAGCGGTCTCTCGAGGGCCCCCTCGTGGCATTTGGCTGTTGGGGTGAGTTGTGCACATCATAGCCCAAGGAGTGTGCAGCTGGCGGACTCTGAGCCACGCCTGTCGGCTTCTCCCCGGGGCCTGAAGACGGGGGCGGAGGCAGGAACCCGCCGCCCATGGTGGTGGTGCCTCGCTCGTCTGCGGGAGGCGTGGTGGCAAGCGTGGTTGTAAGCTCGCCTGCCTCTGGCTCAGCAGGTGCTGAGCTACTCCCTGCTTCCTGTGCGAGTGTGAACTCAGGAAATGGGAATGTCGCTGATGGGCCAGGAGAGAGAATGTGCCCTTCAGAGGGTGAGATGAGACTTGGCGGAAATGACATCATTTGGGGTGGTTATGGAAAGTGGTGTTCATTCGACAAGATGAGCAAGCCTTTTCTTTGTTTTTTGGACCCATTTTAATTTTCCCTACTGTAATAGCGCTGTTTGGAAATGTCATGCTGTGTTTCTAACTGAGAAATGCTTCTGTATGAGTCTTAGGTTTGATGTTATGGTGATGGACATCGGTGGGAAAGGACAACGTAGTGACAAATCACTGAAAATGCTTCCTTTGTTACCTCAAAAATATTCCAGACAAAACATAGCGTTTATATTTATAGAAAACAGAATTGGCTGTTTTCCAAGAACTTCCAAGTTAATTCTTATGCAAGAAAAAGTTCTTAGCTCTCAAGACTTGTTCTGCATAAAGGAGACATTCTTTAATAATGGAAGAGGTGGTTTTATTTTTACAACAAGCCTACTCGTATTACCAAACCTAATAACCGATTGCTGATCTCCTGTGTAAAGCATTTTTTTCTCTTCTCTGAAACAGTGATTTATATGAACTGTTGGAATAATGGAACCTCGCACTACAGATGTGTATGTAAAATTGCATAAATGCACTGACTTCCTTCTCCCTGAATATATTTTTAATAAACAGCATTATCCTACATGGTCAGTTTTATTAACTCATGCACAGCTGGAGGGCTTCTGAGAAGGTGGCACGTGCAGATGGGTGGCGTGCCGAGAGCGGCTTCCTCTTCTGCTTAAGCAACAGTAGTCGTAGCGATGTCTTTTGGCTTTTTGCAGACAGTAGAGAACGCTATAGGAGACAAACTCACGCAGCAGGATGACTTACTTCTTGCGTGGCGGTGAAGGAGACACTTGTTTGGTGAGCTGCTTCCCGCAGTGGTGAGTGGCCCTCAGACTGGAGACACTTACAGTGGCAGAAGCCAGCCAGCCTCCCCTCGCCACACCTCGCGGTCACCGCCCTGAGCTTTTGTGCCTGGCCGCCCTGCCCTTCACAGGGGTCCACGCTGGTCTCTGAAGCAGAAAAGAACTGAGAACCCAAGAGATTGTTTTACCTTTTTTTTAAAAAAAGATGTATTCATTTATATATACAAGAGCTCTGGAGCAGAGGCCAGAGGTGCAGGGGGTGCGAGGACTCCCCAGAGACAGTGGGGAGCAGAAGAGGCGGGCCCACCGAAGCCCACCGCTGAGGGGAGCCCTGGGGAGACAGGAGAGCAGGTCGCTTGATAGTGCTGACACTTAACCCTTGTGCCACCAGGGAGGCCCCAGAGAGAGTTTAAAAGATGATGGCTGGTTTGGCGCCGGGGCAGGGGACTCCTGCTGTCACCAAGAGAACACGTGTCCGCGTTGTATGTGTGCACAGATGCGCCACACTTTGTAGGTGCCGTCCTGGTACACCTGCCTGAGGGCCGCCCACTTGCGGTCTGGAAAACTCCAAAGCCAGGGGAGAGTCGCCCCGGGTGCAGCCAGCTGCAGGCGCACGTGGACAGTGTGACCAGCGCAGGGCCGCCGTTGCCAGCTCCTGGGGCCGCTGCGTGTGGGTCACCGCAGCGGTTTGTACAGAAGTGCCCAGTCATGGCAGTGGCTGGACAGTGTCCCCGGCAAGCGTGCGGGTCGGCCTAGACCCTCCGGGCAGCCTTTTGTGGGGAGGCTGTGGCCACCTCACGTAGTTCTGCAAGCCCCACACTCCTCTCTGGCCGGCTGCTCCCTCCTGGCCTGTGCCGGCCAGTAGCCTCAGTCTTACTGGCCTGTTCGGCCACCTCCCACTTGCGGGGATTCCTGGGAAGGAGTGGTGCAGTTGTTGCTGGAAATGAAGCTCTTGCCTCTGCCAGGGAGCGGACCCTGAGCCCCCAGGCTCATATTTGGCTCTCCAGAATTTGTTCCCCTCAAATAGTCAGTGGTGCCTTCAAGACTCAGGCACCCTCCCGGGGAGCTGAGCTTCAGGAACAGACCTTAGTAGCCTCTACGTGAAGAAACAAAACGTCCCGTAGCGGTAATGGACTGAGAAGTTCTGTTGTGAGCAAGCACAGGGCTGAGGTCAAGAGGGCAGAACACGGGGGGGAGGGGGAGGAAATGGGGGGGCTTACACCTCGAATGACATGGGACAGCGCCCCAAGAAGCAGACCCCGGAAAGATCGCCTTGAGCAGTGACGGGAGCCCACGGCCTCAGCTGAAATCGGGGTCGCCTTCATCCAGCGGCCCTCTTCTGTTTGCACCGTGCCACCTGACGCCAGCCTCGGAGCTGAGTCCAGAGAGGGCTTTGTGCCCGCCCCCTCGCTGGAGCCAGGCGCCCTCACCGCCCTGTGCCCCCTCCGCACCTCTAGGCCACCTCCTCAGGCTGCCGCCTCCCCGCCTGTCGCCATGGCCTCCGCGTTTCTCCTGGAGGCTCAGGGGCCTCTGCGTGGCACAGCCCTCTAGGAAGAGCGCCCATCCTGCCAGGCCCTTCGCTCCCTGGCACCAAACAGCTGCACGTGCCCTCCGTGCGCCCTGACACCCCCAAATAACAGGGTGTCACCCTGTCGTGTGCTGCAACTTGAAAACGTTCCAATTTTATATCCAGCCGATAAATGCAGCTCATTGCAAGGGACAGATTGGCACACACGTGAGCAGGCGCAAGACAGGCCAGGGGCAGGAACGGCTGCGTTTCTGGCTGCAAGAGCCCCCCACAGTGACACCCATGGCCGCGGCCCGGCTCCACCCCGCCGACACCCACCCTGGGCCCTCCTGGACCCTCCACCCACCTTGGGAGAGGACTTCTTGTTGTCAATAGTCTGGTTACGAGAAGTTGCCCCCCTTCTCCAACAGCAGCCTTCACTGACTTCCGCTCTGGAGGCCCGAGCCAGGAGGTCGCGCCAGCCCCGCCGAGGCCTCAGGAAAGCTCTCAGCATTGATCAGCCCGCCGGTGTGGGAACCCCTGGGAACGCAGCCCTGCCAGCAGGCGCCGGTGGGGACGGGGCATTCAGTGAAGTGCGTGAGTCCAGCTGCTCGAGGGGTTAAGCACGCACAGGGCTGCCCACTTGCGGGAAACCAAGTCAAAGCGAGTTGGCCTCCATGCGGGAGAGGCTGGGAGCAGGCCAAACCAGCTTTCCTCTTCCAGGGGCCATCGTGTGTGAGACCCCATCAGCCCCCCGTGGTGCGACACACGGCCTCCCAGGCCCTGGCACAGTATATGCTGTTTTGACAAACAGAAGCCAAAACTTGGGCCATTTATGCTCACTCTAGTTTTCCACTAAACTCTTCCTTGCCCTTCTCACACAGGGATGGGGTGGGTGGGGAGATAGCTTTAATCACTGACCAGTTGCCTATTGATCACAGATTGTATGAGTTAAGGAAAAACAGACTCCAAAGTGGTCACTTTCCCTCTAGGAGATTTTCATGAGGATTGCTCATTCACCAATAAACATTTCTAAGTATGCAGTTCCCTTTCACCCTTTTTTTATTTTGTTTTTACTTGCATCATTTTTATGGAAGTGACATTGCTTGGAGACACTGTAACGAAAGGGGGTAGGCGCCTCTCCAGAGACGGTCACCACACCGCACTCGTCGCCAAAGCCCGGTTAGTCCACCACAGCCCCTCGGGCCCCGGGTCCAGCCTCGTGGTTGGCACCTGGCTTATCCCTGGGCCCCGGGCCGAGGAGGAGCCTGGCTGTGTTGAGTGGTCTGTGGGTGGTCAGCGGGGCTCTCTGGCTCTTGGGCTCTGAGAATCCAGGTCAGAAGCAAAATGGAACCAAAAATAGCACCAATTTGTAGATAGTGAAGCCGGCAGTCAGAGCGCTGTTACCACCACCGCTGCCAGCCGCTGCAACAGGCATCTCTAGCCCTAGGGACACTGCCCTCGCTGCCAGGGGTCCCGTGGACACGTTGTGTTTATTGGCAGATAGCGCACTTGGACTACTACAGACAACAAAATCAAAGATTTTATTAAAAAAAAAAAAAAAAAAGTAAGGCCCTCCCTGGTGGTGCAGCGGGTTACAAAACAGCACTGAGAAGTTAAGCCACTTCCGCATGAGTTCGATTCCCGCCTGCCCCGGAGGTGACCACATGGCGCGGCAGACCTCTCCTGACCCGCCCGCTGCTCCCCTCAGCAGTGGACTTCGTCGATCTGCCTGTTCTGCTCCCCACTCTGTCTCTGGTGAAGCCTCTCACCCTCCGCATCTCTGGCCTGTACCCCAGTTCTGTATGCACGAATAAATAAATCTTAAAAAAAAAATAATTACGACAAGATAAGATGAGCTAGGATTATTAGTGTGGCCAAACAGAAAGATTTGTTATCCCCAAACTACTTGATAAAAAAGATCTGTGTCTAACTCCAGTACAGGTGTGCTGTGGAGGAAGAAAACGTCCATCCTGGAAACAACCCAACTTTTTAAACAATTTAAAGATTCCATGTAGACCTGGGATGTGTTTCTTACAAAATACATTCAGTCCAGAAAGAAAAAAACAGAAGAGAGGCAAAGTCAAGGAACCTTTTAAGATTCCAACATATAGACAGCGTATGGCTCTAGCTTCAGTTGTGTTGTGGGTGATAAAAGCGTTTTTATATTTTTAACTCAAAGCTGTTTCAATTCAGAGTTTTGCAAATATTGGTAAAATGCTGTGAAATTTCAACGTAACACCCTTTCCCACTATAAAGCGTAACCTGACGTCTTCATTTAATCACCATGTGGTATTTTAGAAAAATGACTGACTCTGGATTTGAAAGCTGTGATTTTATTTGACTTTGGATAAATGGTGTCATTTTCACTGAGTATTTCCTTATCTGTAAGATTATTGGAGCAGGTGAGCCTAAGTCCAGACTGCCCTCCCTCCCTGCTGTGAATGGAGTCTCTAACGGAGGCCCAGATCCTGGGCCCTTTCTCAGACCAGCTCCCAGGGTCAAGAGCACTACAGTCCTCTCTGACTCAAGCTGAGCCAAAGTAACTCCCACTTCGTTTTCATTTGCTCAACGTAAAGTCCAGGGTTCTTCTGGAAATATTCTGAGAAGCTTGATGTCACTTGTTAACATTGGGTATAATACGGTCCAGAAAATAATATTTTCTGGGCTTTTAAATCCATCTTGGCATTTTGGTGTAGGGGGTTTCCTATTGGTTTGTAATGACAAATTCAAGAAAATTCCACTTGTCAAGGAAGAGTGGCCTTGGGTAGGACTGGGTGTTAAGAACCCCTGCCTTACACCAGTTCTTCTGACCCAACCCTCTATTTGAAAAATGACTGAGTTGGTACCTCCCGCAAGATCACAGGCTTGTCATGCAATAGTTGAGTGAGAGTTAGAACCTACCAGAATCCTAATGCAGGACAGACACTCCAGGTGCTACTCCTCTCTCCTCTGTCTTCCTAGTTGAGGACTCAGAGCTCACAGAGGTCATCTCCTCAAGGTCACCTGGACTCTGTCTTCATTAGAACCTAGATTTTCGGCTCCCAGCCAGTGAGCGGCCTTTCCATAAAACCAGGTGTTTTTTTGTTTTTTGTTTTTTTAAAGATTTACTTATTTATACAGAATTGGGGTACAGGCCAGAGATGCGGAGGGTGAGAAGATTCACCAGGGACAGTGGGGGCAGAACAGGCAGACCGATGAAGTCCACTGCTGAGGGGAGCAGCGGGCGGGTCAGGAGAGGTCTGCCTCGCC